CCTGTTGTTGTTTAACAACTGTGACTCTTTTGCTTAGTAGATAACCTAGATTTTTATGGCAAAGAATGTGGATGATGGAAGGAATTTTGAAGTAGGAGTCGGCTGAACACCTGTCCACAGACACTGAACAAAATCTGATTGTCATGAAAAGTAAACATGCAAGTCTAAAGCTGGTTTTGCTTCATTTCAGTCATGCAGTTTTAAAGATTGCATCATCTGTTCTAGAAATTCCGCGCAGCCTGATACACTTGGAGTCTCCCTTCTCATTATTAACCATTGTGGGTAGTAACACCCAACACACAAACCCACTTTTTGATAATTGCTAATGTTGATCTTACCATCTCCCCACAGAATGATTCTTAAAAGTTTGCATTTATGGTACCTGTTGGCAGAAGAGAATTCTGTGGTAGTGTCTTACGGAAAAAATGTTGGGTATTTTTCTTTCCCTTCTCAGAGCCAGATTATTTTGGGCTAGTTTGGGGGTTTTAATGTTTCTTGAACTGTTTAGGAAGAAATCTTCAAAAATGTAGGAAAGTCATCGGGTTTTGGTTATATGAAAGGGAGTGAAAACAGAAGCAAGCCTAGGCAGTTTTCTTACCTAATGAGAGCTTTGCACAAATTTTAACGGAAACGTGGAGGTATCTTTTATCAAAAGAGTAAAACTGTGACCCATAACTGCTATGTATATTTGGAACCTCTATTTTCATCAAGTATTATTTTACCTGTCTTTAATGAAAGGTGACTTGATATGAACCTTGCTGTTGGCGTGTTCTGAACTTGAAGATAGTTTTCAGTTGCTGATTAGAGAGTGCATGGAGAAGGGAAACACAGTTTAATCTCAGCACCGTGCACTCATTTGGTTCTCAAACCATGTAGACAATGATGGGGTGATAGTGTAGATAGAAACACAGATCACAGAATTATTTAGGCTGGAAAAGAACTTTAAGATCATCAAGCTCAACTGTTAACCTGGCACTGCCAAGTCCACCACTAAACTGTGTCCCTAAATGCCACATCTACACATCTTTTAAGCATCTCCAGGGTACACAGAGTAGGTAAGGTAGTAGAGGCTGAGGAAAATACAATGTTGATTTTGTTCAGCTGACAAATGCTCCATTACCAAAGCTGGGTCACTGCTTCCTCAGCCCCCTTTCAGCAAAAAATTCAGTTCTTGTTACTCTCAGAGTATTTTTCTACGACGTAGTATTGAGAGAACAGCAGGAAACTTAGGAGTATTAATTCTTCATTTGCTTCTCAAAAGTAATAATTAATAGTTTTTAATCTCTCTCTTCCTCCAGGCACGCAAACAAATGGCCTGGACTTTCAAAAGCAGCCTGTGCCTGTCGGAGGAGCAATCTCTACAGCCCAGGCCCAGGCCTTCCTTGGGCACCTTCATCAGGTAAGGGAAGATCCGTTTCAAAGCAGGGGAGGCTCAGACAGCTGCAAATGCAGCTGCCCTTGGTTGTGCCTTGTTCTCTCTTCCTGTGAATGGCAGGGGGTCATGTAATGGAACATAGGGGTAAGACCATGTCCTTAAATAGCACGGATGGGACAAAGTTCTTACCGTGGCACTCACTGCAGTGCATTGGGCTGCAGAATATGTCAAGACAGGGTGGGACCTATCTGAGAGAACTACAAATCTTGGGGACTTGAGGATGCCTAAACTTTGTGGTGTGTGTTTTTGAAGGATTTTTTTTTCAGTTGTTGTTGATTGGGGGTTTTTTGGGGGGTTTTTTGTTTGTTTTTTTTTTAACCTTAATAGGGATACCAAATTGAAAGGCAAGGTAAAATTTAATCTTTTGGGGAAAGGATTGTATCGGCCCAACAGCTGCCGAGGTTCTGAAACTGTCACTGTCTAGTTAAAAGTGAGAATTGGTGCTGAATGGTAGTCAGCACTATGCTTTGCTCTTGCACATTAACTAGAAAGAAAGTTGATCGTACTTACTAAGCATATATGGTTTGTGAGTTGTTTTTTTTTTCTTAAAGTTATTTCAATGACCTGTTTGTCAGATGATATTCAGACTTCTAATACTATCCCTCTGTTCTGCTGCTGCTGCTGTGTTTAGGGAATCAAAGCTGAATTTCAGATGTAGGCTGAAGCAAAGTGGGGCATCCCTAGGTGAAGAGAAGTATAAGGGGCATTTTTGTAGGTTTTTTTTTTTATCTGTTCTCACTTGATGTATGAAAACAAATGTCCTAATTTCTTTCCCTTCCTCAGCACCAAGTTTAAACTTTAAAATACTGTACCTAATTGGATGACCTTGAATGTTTGAGGTCTGAGGTTGCACAGTTATTGTGGTATAATTGAAGTACTGAAGCTTTTATGCCCTCTTTTAAGAGCTCTGAAACTGCCGTTTTATTGTATGGAACATTCCACACGTCCTGTCACATAACTGCAATTTTCCTAGTAGATTGGTTTATGTAGGACCTAGGGAGTGCCACTGTTTGAATTTGCTGAACCAATAGGCTGTTGTAGGGTGCCTTTCTGTGGAGGGAAGGTGACTAGTTTTCATGGGTTGCCAGTGTGTGTTTAACATGGAGACACAGAACTGCTCTGCAGAATTTTGTGTGTGTTTGTTTTACTCTTCGTTTTGTTATAATAGATGGACCCAGGACAGTAATTGTGTTTAGCACAGTGCTTTATCCTGCTTTGGAAATGTATGTATTTAAACAGTTGTCAGGTTCTTTATAACTTCGTGTTTGATAAGGTGTGATTCATTTCTTGAAACTGGTTCAAAGGGAAATCTCAGGTATTCTTTTATTCACCTGCAGGTGTGTGGGGATCTATTGTCAAACTGTCCTCTGCTGGTGTGGCTACTCTTAGTGGGGTGTTATTCAACCTTAACACACAGTGCTTTCCTCTAGACTAATGCAAAATGTTAGGCTGTAGACAGCATTCAAGAACAGTTTAATTTCTAATTTGAAAATGTTGGTTGTGTGGTGAATGGGGTGTCCAAATTGCATTCAGAGAGATTTTCAGGACTATGTTGACTGTACCTGAGATACATTTGTGGTGTTTTATGTGCGTTTTCTGTCATTTTAATGTATTATTTCTGAGTATATTTTTTTGGATGGCAGGCTGGTGGTGTTTAGGTTATTCTCTGCTGTTAATCCATGTTAAAAGCTGACATTACATCAGCTGTGTCAAACTATATTTTGCTTGTGATGAGGAGGGGCTTTTCTGAGAGTGTTTGCTTAGATGTAGAACATGCTTAGTAAGTCTGGTACCTTCATTTAGAGAGGCAGGAAATATTTCCAAGGTGACTTTTAAGGGTCACCTGTTCAAATATTCAGTTATTAATTTCGTGTACTGCAGTTTTTCCCATGCTTGAAAATGTGTACTCTTTATGTGGGGACATCATTTTACAGAGGCAAGAGTGCTACATTTTACTTTGCTTTATTGTATCCTCACATGTTGCCTTGTTTTCAAATGAGCAGCGGTTTTCAAACATGGCCAGAGACAGAATTCTCTACAGGCTGTAACTCTGACCTTTGAAAATGTTGGTAATTAATTACATAGCATTCCTTCTTTATAACTAGGAGTGCTGGTAGAAACAAGGCAAGACTGATTAAAATGGTCTTGAGTTAATGAAAATACAGTGTTTTGTCGTACAGAGAAAATCCTTATTAGAGATAAAATAACACTTTTAAAAAATCTCACTTTCTGAAGCATCTGTTTTTCTTCACTGCTAACCCACAAGACCTTCTTTGGACCTGTTAATCACAAACACTGGATTCAAGTTTTAAGTATACCTGAATCAATACAGCCTTTGTAAAGTGTCTCTGGTCCTCTGTGTTGAGATCTTCTTTTCAGTGGCTGAGGACTGGAAATACTTGAACAGGTTGATTTGAGGGAGAGTGTTTATGCTCTGGGTTCTGTGCTGTGCAGGTGATTGCTCCTCTGTCATGTAGGAAAGTGGGTGAATGCAGTGTTGGGGTAAAACCCATCCTGAAATATGGGTAGGATGGTGATGACTGGAGCTTAATGGCCTCCCCTGGAGCCTGGATTTTTCGAACAGGAATAGGACTAGGTAGCCTGTCCACCCAATATGCTCTGTTTCAGATTTTTTCATGATAATATCTAGATCCCTAGGCAGGAATACCTTCTGCAAGAGGTAGACAAATAACACTTGTGGAAGAGCCTTACAGATCTTTTTCAGCCTGGAGCCCAACCCCTGTTTCACTGATTCAGGTGTTAGAGGGGCGTGCAGTGTTCTTGTTGGGACGTGGGTGGGGAGATGGTTCTTTTTACATTGTTAGTTTTCTGTGGATTCTACATTATTTCATTTCCATTTTTGCACTGTTGTAGGTCCAGCTCGCTGGAACAAGTTTACAGGCTGCTGCTCAGTCCTTAAATGTACAGGTAAAGACAGTTACCTTCTGCTGCTTGTCCTTCTCTCATCCCGAAGAGCATCCTGGTCCCATTAGAGATAGTTTTTAACCTATAATATGTTACTCTGTGTTTTCAGTCTGACTGGTTTTGCAAGTGATAGGTATGAAGGAATAATAGTTTTACAGCTGTAAATCAGTTTCAGGGTAGTCAGCATTCAGACACTGGAGTTGTTTAAGACGTGCAGCAATCATAACTTAATGCTGAATTTCAGTCAGGTGTCATGTCATGAAAACCGTGAAAATCCAGGCATATTTCATGTTCTTTCATTTATTCATTTATTATTTTAAACATATCAAGTATTACTTTGTGATTTTTCTGGTACCTGAATATGGGACTATAACGTAACATTAACTATGTAAGGTGGCAGACTTAGATTGCTTGTGTAAATAACACAAAGTGATATCAAAATAAGTCAGAGTAATTGTTGTTTAATAATGTACGTGAGACAACAAAGCTTTCAAACTTTTTTATGATGCTGAACACTTCAGTGTATCAGTTAATGTTCCACTTCCTCTCAGTACTATATTAAAGGGGCAAGGGATGCAGTTTTATTGAAGACTGGTTTCAGTATTGCTTGTTATTAAAGAATGCAGGTAGTGCATTACATGAAATGCAATAGAATGTGGACCCACTTATACATAATAACAATTTGGAAAGAAGAGGAGGTATAGTGACCTTCCTTTCTAAGAGGAAGGAGGCAGAAAATTGCCTTGGTTGCCATGGTAAACTTCCATCCCTGAGAGAGATGTTGGCAAACAGGCTGTATCTCCAGTGCAGAATGTTTACAGTCCTGCGCTGTAATTATCACTCAATGACTGGCAGAATTAATCAGAGCCTTTATGTTAATTAGCCCGCTCTGCAGTCCCCAAAACAGGTGGTGGAAAATATGCAAATCTATGCAGAATTTTAATGTTCTGCATAACCAGTTTTAATTATCATAAAACTCTCTCCCCCTCTTCATGCACTTGCGTTTCCTCCCTCATGTCTTCACAATTTCTTGTGTTTAAAAAAACAAACAACCAAACCACGGAAATAAATCAAAATAAACTGGAATCTTTTTAAATAAAGCAGCATTAATAAATAAATAGAATAAATGCTAAACTTTGATTATTTAAAAGCACTTTATGTATTATGTATTTTGCTGTCGATGGATAAACCTGTGAGGATTTTTCAAAAGCAGTCCCATATAAGCCAACAGTATGATGACTTAGAGGTACAGGATGCAGATAATGGAAACAAAATCTCCTTTCCCTGGGTCCATTGTTCAGGATTTTAGGCAATGAATAATTTTAACAGTCCTCTCTTTCTTTATGGTGGGAGGTAGCGTCAGCTTCAGTTGCATGGCGTAAGATGAGATGGGACCTGAAAATAACGTCAAAGAGTTACACAGGACCAGAGAGTCTCTTTGTTTTGTTTAAACTGCATTACCTACAGACATGTTTGAGCAATCGTGGCTGAGATGGTGGGCACACAGAGCCATTGCTTAAACACACTCTTAAAATAAACCCAAGGGCTTTTTGTATGCAGATGAAAGATTTTTATTGTGCGGGTGTTGAGATAGCAGTGTGTTATACATTAACATCTGTTTTACACTATAAAGAGTTGTATTTTTTTTTTGACTAGTCTAAATCTAATGAAGAATCTGGGGACTCTCAGCAGCCAAGCCAGCCTTCCCAGCAGCCTTCAGTGCAGGCGGCCATACCCCAGACCCAGCTCATGCTGGCCGGAGGACAGATCACTGGGGTAAGGTTTACCCAGGTTTACTGCAGTCAGCCTCCTGATGGCAGTATCACAGAGCCTGGCAGTGAAGGGGATTGTCATTAACATAGGAAGAAACTTCAGTGAAAGTGGGGACAGAAGGTACCTTCCTAGAAAAATAAGCAGACTTTAATATTTGGGGGTTGTTGCAATAGTATTTGCTTCCAAACAACAACAACAACAAAGAATTGTTTCTCTCTGTTCTCGGTACCGTCTTGACTCTGCAATGAAAGGAAAACCTGGTGTGTGTACAAATAGGACAGTCACTGATGTGATAAAGAGGAATTTTTATTTTTTTTCAAGATTAAAATGGGACATGGGAGAACGAGACTAAATCTTATCAGATAGCTGGGTGTAGAGCAAAATTATGGGACCTGCTAATTCTTCCTCTTCTCAAATACATTTCTTTTTAAGTAACTGTATTAGTACTCCTTAAGCCTATTCAACCCTTCTGTTTTAACCTACCAATTTTGAGGGGTTTTTAATTGCAAGGCTTTGGGAGTAAATATGAGATAACTTGGTTTAGACTGGTGTTTCTGAATTGTTGTAAAGGCTTTCAGTCATTTCAAAAAAGGAAGTTTTTCGAAAGGGCTCGTTAAAGAATGAGCATTTACATAGTCAGCTTTGCAGTTTTAAGTGTTTGTGTGTTTAGGGCAGTTGCTCCAATAATGTATTTATGATTCGAAGTATTAGATTAGATCATCTCTACACTTGAATGAAATATCATCTTAATTTCAGGCTCAATTGTTAAACCTTCTTCTATGTTAATGTACAAATAAACATTTAGTTTTCAGTTAACTGCATTTGAAAGCTTTAAAAGTGAGACTGTTTTAATATGTTGTTAAAACCTGGCATATTTTATTATTTTTTGCATTCCCAAAAAATATTGGTTTGTTTTAATTCATGATTGTCTGCTGTAGTGAAACGTTCAAAACTCCAGGCCCATGCAGATACGGATTGTAGTAAATATGGGCATCAAGATTCATTTACATGTAAAGGAGAAACTGCTGCCACCTGTTCCTCAGAGATAATGCGTGCTTGGGAAAGGGAAGGGATGTGAAGTTGCCAACTCTATTCTATTTAAAAAAAAAAAAAAAAAAGCAGATGGGGAGACTTGGAGAGAAACAAATGGAGCTCATGTTCTTTACTTATATCTTAGGGCATAATGGAAATGATGGAATATGGCAGGGATTCATGCTAATGTGAAGCAGCTGGGGTGTTATCAGTTTGTTCAGTAGCCATAGCCAGCATTCCTGCTTCGCATTCATCTGGCTAATCACTTGCTGTTCTGCTGGGTGTAAATTTCTTTTCAAATCCTGGCAATACCGATTCTTTTCTTTTGCTTGCTACTTAATTACCTTTTCCCAGAAATTGCTGGTAGAGTTGTGAAGAAGACTTAGGAGTGAAGTTAGGTTCTGTAGGTTCCAGTAAGCGCAAATGTTTGCTTTCGTGCAGTTTGGTTTAGGTCACGCCCGTGGTAGGTTGGTTCCTACACTGTGTTGAGTAGCCAGCTGTCCTTACTTAAGGCCAGAGTCATCGGCTGAACCGTAGCAATAGTTGTGGGGTTGTCTGGTTAATATAACTAGTAACAAGCTAGCTAATGACTTTGTAGCTCAAGTGGCTCTTTGCATTATTAATGGCTGTGTTTTCTAATTGTTTATAGCTCACGTTGACGCCAGCCCAGCAACAGTTATTGCTCCAACAGGCGCAGGCACAGTTGCTGGCGGCTGCAGTGCAGCACTCAGCCAGTCAGCAGCACAGCGCTGCTGGTGCCACCATCTCAGCCTCTGCTGCAACGCCGATGACGCAGATCCCTCTATCTCAGCCAATACAGATTGCACAGGTGAGCCTTGAGGCTTGAGAGGGTGGAAAACAAAAGAGCTTTGACTTCGTTTGCACCGTTTTTTTTTTTTTATTCCCTTGTTCGGTGGGTTTCTGGAGTCCTCGAGCGTTTTCAGTCGTTCCTCACACGTCCTCAGGTGGTGAGGTTGAAGTTGGTAGTCTTAGTTGCTCGTCACTTCCGCTGGGCTTCTGAGTTTGCTCCAGAATCTGTATTTTCTGAATTTTCCTCCTGGTAGTTAGCTTGGGAAAGGAGGAAAGGAGGGTATAGAGAGATACCCACAGAAATTGCGTTTGTTGAGACCTGTGTGGATGGGAAGTGATGCCTGTGTATCACAGAGGATACTCATCAGACCCAAATGGTGCTTGCTGGAAGCAAAATGACAGAGCTGAAGAAAGGCAGTTTGACTTGACAGATCTGTGTGCTGTTTTGGCTTGGTGCTTAACGCTCAGAGTTCAGTGACAAAGGATGGGCACTCGTGTGTGTCTAGGGAAAAACTTGTCGGAATATGTCTGGAGTTGAAATCTGTCCAGTTTCGTGGTCTGGTACTACTTGCCAGTTAATTCTGAAGAACTGCATTTCAAGGCAGTTCTGCTTACTAGGATTGTCCTGGATCTTCCAGGATTGGGATAATTCCGTGTGGAGAATGCAGTGCCACTAACTCCATACTTAGTATAATAATAATGGCCAGTCTTCGCGAGCGAAGATTTGGGAAAGGTCATTAACCCTTCGAACCTGCACAGTGGATTTTTTAGGTGAGACACAGCTTGCGCTGAACTGAGCCCACCCTTTAATCCTGAAGTTCATCTGCTGGGGCCGAGCAAGCTTGGACAGTGGCAGTGAGGGTCTCAGAACGTAGGTTTGTTTAGAGTGACCTTCTCTTAGATGGATTGCCTCACAGGGCTAACGAGCTCCATCTGCCCGGGGGGCCGGGAATCGAACCCGGGTCGCAGCGGTGAGAGTCCTGCACCCTAACCACTAGACCACCAGAGGCCCCACTACATATACTTAGTATATGTAGTGTGGAAACTCCTTAGACTTGTGGACAAGGGTAAACAAATGTACAGCTGAGGCATCTTGAGTGCTACTATTAGCTTGTCGTGTTGCTCATGCTGAGGTCCATCTTTCCGTAGATTAAGGTTCTCAGTATGTAGTATCAGTTTGTGTATTAGTGTAGCTGTGCAAAGTATGTTGGATATGTAATCTCCAAAGCTGCTGCTTCTTAGAGTGAGCAGATTCTCTAAGACTGTCTGGTGCTTTCTGTTCAGGCTGTTTTCTCTTGCATTCAACTGGGGTGAAGTGTCTTAAAAAGTGAACATGAGGTCTGATTAAGGACAAGAATGGAAATGTCACAATTACTGTGAAGTCCATTGGTGAAATGTGCAGTTCCTTTATTGTGCTAGTCCACTAGCTGAATAACAGCCTGGCTGTGCTATCAGGTTTTGATTAGCTGAAGTGGCAAATTTCTGTGGGGTTGGTCTAGAAGTTCTGACCTCTCTGGCAGTCCCTTAGAGAGGCCAGAATGATGCCATCCCACATTTAAGTGAGAGATTCCACAGATCTCTCACACTGAACCTCTTGTTGGACTGTGACAAGTCATGTGACCAAATATTAACAAATCTTTTAGCAAAGGATCTCACTTCACTGGCATGATGTGGAGATGGCTGAAGGATGTAGCATTCAAGGAAACTTGTAGTTCTCAAGATCATCTCTTAATTTTGTTAAGTCTTTGTAGCCAATAATACAGACAGATTTCAAGAAAAGAATGGGAAATGTCCTTGTCAAGGGAGTTGGTGGTCAGCTTCTAACTTCTTGCCATGCATCTGTCACATTGTTCCCACGTGATACTGTGCAAGTCTTTTAACCCAAGTGTAAGTAATCCACAGGTGTGTGCCTCTTGTCTTCCAGGTGTGCAACTTAAGATAGTTTGGTCTGCTTTACTGGAGTGTGGCACACTAAAATTTCATATTAACAAAACCCATACCTTGAACTTTCTGGCTTTACGTTTGTCAAATGTGCCGCCAAAGCAGTGGATACCTTTGAATGGGCAGATACCTTTGAATGCAATGTGTGAGATGTTGCTAATCCCTCTCTTCCACAGCAGTGGAAATGTGTGAAGCATTTACAGTTATTAATTTTGTACTGGAGAAAATCTCCAGAGAAATGTTTGAGAGGAGTCGAGAAGATCAGGCGTGTGCCGTCAAACAGGAGCTTCTGAAGTGAGCGTGTGCTCTGTGAGAAGTAGCATGTGCTCTGTGAGAAGTAGCATGTGATCATGTTGTTGCCACATGGGGAACAAATTAAAGTTGGACTTGTTTTCTGGCGTTTCTAATTACCGAAATGTTTGACTTCACAATTGATTCTTTTAGGATAGGTTATTTTGATACCTAAATGAGCTTGGTTGAATCTTGTTGGCTGCTTCCCATGATGAAAGTGCAGGGCATAGTTTGTGCAGGGGTTGGATATAATTTGAGATACTTGTGGAAAATGTCTACCATCTAGGTTCATAGGTAGGTAACACCATGCTTTTTGATCCAGCTTGGCAGCGATTTGTAAGCAGGGCTCAGCTTTGTTTGTGTTGCTATTGTAAACATATAGCTGATTACACAAATATCTGAATGTTTGTTTTAATTGATGATTTTTTGAATAATTGATTAACTGGCAGGTCTCTGCTGCAGGGGGATTACCATATTTATTTTAATTAACTAATTGCACAAGCATGACTTCTTTAACGTGCTCTGCAGTTCACGTAAGGTATCTGCTGCAGCAGCCTGGGGAGATGCTTGTGCTGCTGCTGGGCTGCTGCTGAAGTGACACTGAACAGTGGTACCAAGCTTTGGAGTTCTTTTTAAACTTTACTTCTTTTCACGATCTATGATCAGTGTTTTTATGATGTAAACCTCAAAATTACAGAGGTGCTGAGGGTGTAATTAGAGAAAATGACATTGAATGTAGAACTTTAGATGATTTATTTTGTTTTTTTTAACAAAAATCTTCATGGCAAGTTGTAGCACTTGACAGATCTGCTGAGGTAGGAGTTAGATTGTTTTGATCTTTCTAAATTGTCAGGCAGCACCAGAAGACATGCATGTTTCCCTGAAAGTCTTTCCATCTCTTTCTGTGTGCTTATGCTTGCACAGGGATTTTAACACTGAGGGGAAAAAAGATCGGTATAGGAAAATAGTGTCAAGTTTGTTCATGTGGTTGCTATTGGGAGATTTACTGTAGTGGTATAATTAACTAAATAATAAAACTTTCCCAAGGTGGAAATAAAGTTGGATTTCAAATGAATTTGAGGGGCTGGTAGGGCTATTTAAGTGTGATTAGCCTTGGAGGTATCATTTTCGTTTTGCGTTACAGAATTATATTTCTGTATTTAAACAAGACTTAGCCAACACACCAGTTACCAGGGCAGATGCACAGAATAAGATTGCTTATACCAGTTATCCCTGAGGCCTCAATTTAAAAACAGTTTTCTCATATTAAAGTGTAAGAGCCTGATGATAAGAGCTGTCATGTCTTAGCTGGGTAGCTGGTGTTATGAATACAATAGTCTTAAACAAAAAGCTCTCCTCCTTTGATCTTACAGATACACTGCCACTGTTTCTTTGTATTCTTTCTTCTGCATAACTCCATCTCCTGTGGTGGTGCTTCAAATAATCTGAGATCTACTTGGTCATCTTGCTTTTGGTGGGAGAGGTCCTCCACCTGTCTGTTTTTCTGTTGATACTTCTTCCTTCCACAGTTTCTTCCCAACTCCTCCTTTTGTGTTTGTACTTCTTCTCTTATCTACCACTGTTTTCACCCTGCAGCCTCTCTTTATCTCCTTTTCTTCCACCCAGTGTTCACACCCTTAGTCAGCTTGCCCTACTCTTTTCATTTCTGCTTTCAACTCTGCATCCAGTCCTCTCATCCGATTTGGTGTGAGCCCCTCTGTGCTGGAGGGTCGGCACAACCCGCAGGGGTAACCAGTTAAGCACTGAAAATCGATGAATAAATGAGTGGAGGCCCATGTTGTGTTGGGCTCAAGAAGTAGCAGTTTTTGTTAGCAGTGCTGACCATTGTGATGTTATGACACGAAGTCAGAAGAAATATGGAGTTCCAGGGAAAAACTGCAGCAGTTATTTCTCTCTTTTTAAGAGGGAAATTGGCCTCAGTTTCATAGGAATAGTTGTATTACTACTGAAATTTTCTGAAAGCAAACGATACCGTTGACTTTGAAAACACTTTGTTGCGCTCGTGGGCACTTCTTAAAATTTTACCGTTCTCTTGTAAGATGGAAGTGTGTTTTTCTTAAGAGCATTGCTTGGCCAATCCATCTGGTGTCTGTCTGCCATATTATTACACTGCACGCTCTTGACTTAACACAACTAAGTTGCCCAAGTGATTGATGGCCAGTGTCTGTGTAATGCAGGTTAAGTAGTCGTTTTCCTATAATGCATGTCTATGGTCTCATAAATCAATGGACTCCCTTTTTTTTTTCCTCCCTAGTCTTCCTTTCCACCCACTGACACTCCCTACCCTTCATCCCCAAAAGGAGATTTCTGCAACTTTGAAGTTATAGTTTAAGAGATTTAAAATAATGTGACACTTTAGTCTTCTTGTTTGGTTGGTTGGTTTGGCTTGTTCAGTGGGAGTTTGGTTTGGTTTTTTCAGTGGGAGGTTGCAAGTATGGAAAATATTTGCTTGGTGAGTATTTTGAAACAGCTTCTTCTCAGAAAGATGGAAAAATTCTACGTGTATAGATAGTTTTCCTGGATTACCACTATTATGTTGGCCGACTTCACAATGTGCTTCAGTTCTCAATTTCAGTTACTCTTGTTATTGTCCTGTTTGGAGAAGATGAAAAGAGAAAGGCTATTGGGGGGAGCAATATTTTTAAACAGTTCTTTATGTTTTCGTTCTCCAGCTAAATGTCAAGTTGAAGCATTTTTCTTGAAAATCCAGTTTCTCAGAGATTAGCATTTTATGTTGAGACCAGTCATTTAATTATAGAAAATTAACGGTTCTGAATGGTTTAAATACATAAAAGTAGGGTTCTACAATAAAGCAGTGATTTGGATTATTCCTTTTAACCTTTAATTATAGTCATATCTATTAGGCTTATTGTAATTTGTTTCAGAACTAATCAAATATTTATTTATTTATTGAGTTAGCCACTTTCTGAAATTTGACCTGAACAATCAGCCTGCAAACAAGGAATCTGTAATATTTTGCTTTCTTGTTGTTGATTCAAATGGTAATTGCAGATTGTTGTTATAAACAAAAATAGCTCCCAGCTAATATACTTGATTTGTAGCAGAGTTCCATCCTCAAAAAAATAAATTTGAGAAGTCTGAGTGCTGATAAAACTGAAGTATTTGAAAACTCCTGCATTTGATGGGGATGGGAGGGAGACTGATTTGTTTGTTTATTTGGTTTTGTTTTGCTTTGTTTTTAAAGCAGAACAGTGCTAGAAATACTTTGCTGGGTTATTTACTAAATAACTTTTGTTTGGTTTTATGACCAACAGTGCAATTCAAATTGCCGTTCTAAAGGATATTCAGTAGCAGGATTGCTACTGTGTTTGACATCCAGTTTTATCTCTAAATGTTGGAGTGTAACTGGCTGATAGAAAATCGAGTTACATTGGGAGTCATGGCTGACCTAAATGTCTAACACACAGCTCTTTCTTTTCTTTTTTTTTCTTTTTTTTCTCTTTTGTTTTTTTTTTCTTTTTTCTCTTTTTTCTTTTTTTTCTTTTCTTCTCTCTCCTTTTTTTTTTTTTTCTCTTCTCCTGTTTCCTTAAGGATTTGCAGCACTTGCAGCAGCTTCAGCAGCAGAATCTCAACCTGCAACAGTTTGTGTTGGTGCATCCAACAACCAACTTGCAGCCAGCACAGTTCATCATCTCACAAACACCGCAGGGGCAGCAGGGTAAGTGCTTCGTGCCAGAAAAGCAAATCATGCAGAGCTTTTTTAGAGGATAAGGTGAAACCGAGGTGGTTCATACACCTTCACTAACTATTGATAATCCCTAGGAGAAAAACAGCATTGCAATTAGGAAATTCTAACAGGTTGTCCCTTTGTTGGTGTTAGACCTCAGCCTTGTCAAAATTTGTGTAGTTCACTTCTCAGGGGGGATCAATCCAGGGAGAGTGTCATGGGAACATTTGTTAACAACAAGGCTTCCTGGAAAACAATGCAGCATCTGAATTTTTGGGTTAGGTTCTCAAAAAGCAAGACTACTGGGAAGAGAAGTTGGAGAAGACAACTCTCCAGAACTCAAAGGCAGAATCCTATGAGGTGGAGGCCTGGAGGGTGCCTTGGCTGTCTGGATTAGGTCAATGCTCAAAGGGCTACAAAATAAGAGATACAAAAAAAGTGATGCACAGTGCAGCTCCTCACCACCCACTGCCCAATGTCCAACCAGTTCCCAGCCAGCTTTCCCCTCTTTAGCTTATAAACTGAGCACGAGACCACAGGGTGTGGAATATCCCTTGGGCAGTTTGGGTCAGCAGTCCTGGTTCTGTCTTCTCCCAGATTCTTGTGGCTCACGGCCTCTTTGCTGGTAGGGTGGTATGAGAGGCTGAAAAGTCCTTGAGTCCATGGTGCTCAGCAGCAACTAAAACATCAGCATGTCATCAACATCGTTCTCATCCTAAATCCAAACCACGGCACTATACCACTGACAGAAAATTAACTCTATCCCAGTCAAAACCAGGACAGACAGGAAAAAGATTACAGAATCGAAAGTTCTTGTGGGAGAGTAGAAAAGCACTTAAGCCTAAAGCAGGTACAGTGAATTTTGTCATAAACTGAAATAATAATTACACCTTGGGAAAAGAGCTAGAATGCTTGATTTGTGTAACAGCTCTCATAGTAATAATATTTTGACAATGCGCTGGGTATGACTTACGTGCCAAAGACAAACCAGGGCAGTGGGAGGTGGCAGTGTGCCAGACCAGTTAAGATGTGGTACAGCAGCTTTGCTGTAAGAACTAACGTGTTCTCAAGTTGCAATGCATCACGGTACTGATTGCAGCCCCATTTGTTGCTGCCCATGGAAAACTGTGTTTAGCCATGGCCTCTTATGCTGATATACTCCAGTAGTCTTTTTTTTTCCTCCTCTCTGTTCTACATGAACTCTACTCAGTTGTTCAGGTCTGGTAATCCAAAGATTCTTGCTCAGAAGGCAAATCCTGTTATGCTTGAAGAGTCCTCCAGAGCCTGGCTGTCCTGTAAAGCAGCTCTTTGCACCTCATTTTCTTCTGTTCCTTTCAATTTTTTTCATGCATCATTCCTTCTTACATACTCTGACTTGGATAGAACCTGGCTTTCCATTATGCTGAAGCGCTCTTGCTGTCTGAATGCTCTCACATTTGAATAAAGGGTTAGTCAAAATTAACTTCCTTTTAATAGGACTTGATTTAGGAGAGATTTTATACTGGTACTGGTAGAAAATGGCTAAAAGGCTGTTCATGGAAGCATTTAGTGATATACTGTTTTCTTAAAATGAAGCAGAACTTATAGACTTAACATATTGTTCTAGAAGAAATCAAACTACCAAAATGTAGTTCAAGGACTCTTTAAAACAGCGTTTTTTAAAAAAATAAATTCTTTTAATGAAACAGCAGGCACAAAAGCATTGTATTGAAAAACTCATTGTTATTAAGGTCTGCCTACATTTTTCAGCGAAAATCTGCTGATTTTCTAAAATACCTCTGAAGATACCTCAGAAAAAGGGAAAACTAAGAGAAGCAAATTTGTATTCATCTCCCAAAATGAGTTGTTTGCATTATAGAAAGGAAGGGAGGCTTTTCTGTTTGTTTAAAATCTCCTGAAGTAGAATTAACTACTAGAGGAGGTTTTCATAGTACCTTTTTTCAGGGGCCATCTGTAAAATTAATTCTTCACTGCAATATAAGACTTGCATATTGCTGTCATCCAGTGACTCACTGTGTGTAGAAACGTTGTGTTTTACTGGTAATGTGCAGCCTGGACAACTGAATAGCTCAAAAATGTGGGGAGATTTATGTGCTGGATTCTGACCATAGGTCATTAGTGCGTGACAACCTTCCAAACTGAAATGCTTGAATGGATCTCATTTTCTTCATGAGCACTCAATGATAAAGCAACATGTGTGCCATAATACCCCTCATATCACTTTTTGATATGGCTTTTTTGCAGTATTTCACAGTTATTATTCGAAGATCTCAAACTGTACATTACTATTTATGAGAAAGATTGAGAAAGTGTGTGGGTTTACTTTGTTGTTTGCTGTTGCAGCTGACTTTTCCAGGTTGCTCTTGTCCTATTGCTCCATTAGTCAACTTCATAAAAAAATAGATATTCTGAGGAAACTAGCATAGAGTTTTCTTTAAAACCAAAGGCATTCAGATTTCTTTTGATGCCTCCTTGGTACTGCATGGAGCTTTATAAATATGTATGCATTTAGTAACTAACATGAAAATTCAGATTTATGTATAGATTATATATTCTGGAAGAAATTTATTGCTTTACAGAGTATGCTACTTGTTTTGTGTGTGCCATGTAGTCATATAAATGTTTTTAAAATGAGAAGAGTTTTGAGGGAAATAACTAAAGAACAGTATCACTAAACAAGATTTTAGAAGACACGTAGACATTTGGTGAAGAAAAATTTGTTACTTGAAGAGGTGATGGGGTACAGAGAAATAAAAATCATCAGCAGTCGTATGTAGATTCTTGAAGGGATTGAACTTCATGACCCTAGATCGAACTTTTGAAAAATTTCAGAAAAATTTAGAAAATTTTAGAAATTTTAAAAAAATTTTAGAAAGTTCAACACCTCAAATATTAATCAATTCTCCTGTCTTTCTTTAACACACACATTACAGCACCCAGCAACAGATACGAAATTTTCCCCATAAATCCTCTGCCATGTGTCCGACATAGTCACCTTCCTTTTCCAGATGATTTCTGGCTATTTAGTGGCTTATATGAAACGAATTTACAAGTTCTCATTTTCCATGGCTGGTAATTGGTAACATCATAACTGAAGGAATGGTTTCAAGCCTCAGCAGTTATGCAGAAGATTGAATGGAAATAGAAATTTGGAGCAATTTCTTATTCAGAGCTACCGTTGTCCAAATTATTGGTGAAGTCACAGGCAGTGACTGTAATGTCTTTATACCTCTTGTATCTGTTCTTGTATCTAATAGATCTGTCTCTAGAACAATCAATTCAACATCCCTTACTGCAATTACAGCTGCTTCTTAGAAATATTACCCTCATCAGGTGACTGTTCACCTTTCTACTCGGGAGATGTTGCCAATAAAAATCATATCAGTAAAAATCTGAATGGAGAGGGGAATTGGTGCTGCATTTAATATAAATTAATCTTGGAAACAGAAGTTGTTAAGATCTAAGAAAATACTGTATCATTGTCAAGGAGATTTAGAAACAGTACTTATGAAGAAAGTATCCAGAAAGGCAAATGTGGAAGACAAGGTACTAATGACCTTTAAACACTGAAACTGCCCTTACCTATTCTAAAGTTATTGCTGTTTATTATTAAAAACCTTGTTTATGATTTCATTTTTTTATTGTGAAGTTACCTGGGGTAATGATAGCAGGCCAAATTCAGTCCTTGTTCTCTTTTTTTCCTACGTGTCCTACACACTTTGAGGCTTCACTTATGTGAAAGCTGTTGTAATGGCTTTGTCTTGCAAGCTGACTTCCAGGATATGTCTGTGAGAAGAACAGCAGCTTTGGCAGAGATAAAGCAGTCAAGTTCTTAGATGAAAAAATTCACTCTTTAGGGAGATCATTTAGGAATGAATTATGTATTATGCTTCTGGGCCAACTTTCTAAAAAGTATTCTGAAAAAGTCTGCACTTGAATGTTTGTTTTATCTTTTGTTTAATTTTAGATAGTAAGAACTGAACCCCAGATCAGTCCTTGGGGACTGTTGGCTGGCAGGAAGAGTTTTTTGGCTTGGACCATTATTCATGCTACTCATAGACATTACAGGAAAAATCCTGGATGATGGTAGATACATTTACTTTAACTATTAAAAAAAATTAAATACCTCTAAACTGTCATACTTTTGCATAGATCTTTACCTCATTCTTTCAGAGTGTCACACTGGTAATTTGTATGCCATATTTAATGCAGTAATACCCCTGGGCTTTTAAAACCCAGGGCAGAGGGTTAGGAATAAGACCTCTGTAAAGTATGCAAGTACACTATCAGCTTTTACAGATTCAAACAAATCATGTGGGCTGGAAGGGACCTCCAAAGGTCATGAAGTGTTGCTCAAAGCAGGTCCAATTACAGCAGAGTGCTCAGCACCTCAGACAGTTGAATTGAACATGTCCAAGGGTGGAGTTTCTGCAGCATTTTCAAGTACCTGTCCCAACAGCTGACTGCTCTCATGGTAAAAAAGAACCCCAAATAACATTTCCTGCATCAACCTTCATGAGGTTCCATTTGTCCAGCCAGTCTAGACCCTGCCTTCTGGCCTGTTGACCGCTTTCCCCATATTTGGTATTGTCCACAAACTTGCTGAGAATACATTTTGTCCCATCAGCCTTACTGGTAATAAAGATGTTACAGAATCACAGCACCAGTTATGGTGGAAAAGTTCTCTGGGATCATCGATTCCAACCTCTGACCGAACACCACCTTGTCAACTAGATTATGGCACCGAATGCCACATCCAGTCTCTTCTTCATCTCCAGGGACAGTGACTCCACCATCTCCCTGGGCAGCCCATTCCAATGTCTAATCACCCTTCCTGTGAAGAAATTCTTCCTAATGGCCAACCTAAACCTCCCCTGATGCAGCTTAAGACTGTGCCCTCTTGTCCTATTGCTTCTTACCTGGGAGAAGAGACCGACCCCTACCTGGCTACACCCTCCTGTCAGGGAGTTGCAGAGAGTGATAAGGTTTCCCCTGAGCCTTCTCTTCTCCAGGCTAAACAACCCCAGCTCCCTCAGCCTCTCCTCACAGGACTTGTGCTCCAGTCTCTTCCCCAGCCTCGTTGTCCTTCTCTGGACCTTCTCCGGCCCCTCAGTGTCCTTCCTGAATTGAAGGGCCCAGAGCTGGATCAGCACTTGAGGTGTGGCCTCACCAGCACTGAGTACAGGGGCAGAATCACTTCCCTGATCCTGCTGCCACACTGTTCCTGATCCAGGCCAGGATCCATTGGCCTTCTTGGCCACCTGGGCACACTCTGGCTCCTGTTCAGCTTCCTGTCAATCCCAGCTCCCAGGTCCCTTTCTGCCTGGCTGCTCTCAAGCCACTCTGTCCCCAGCCTGTAGTGCTGCAGGGGGTTGTTGTGGCCAAAGTGCAGGACCCAGTACTTGGCCTTGTTCAGCCCTATACTGTTGGATTCAGCCCATCTATCCAGTCTGTCCAGGTCCCTCTGCAGAGCCCTCCTGCCTTCCAGCAGATCGACATCCCCCTCACCCCAACTTGGTGTCATCTGCAAATTTGCTAATGGTGGACTCAGTGCCCTCATCCAGATCATCAATAAAGACATTAAACAGGACTGGGCCCAACACTGATCCCTGGGGGACACCACTAGTGACCAGATCCCAACTGGATGCAGCACCGTTCCCCACCACTCTCTGGGCCCGGCCATCAGCCAGTTCCTGACCCAGCACAGAGTGCCCCTGTCCAAGCCATGGGCTGCCAGCTTTTCCAACAGAATGCTGTGGGAGATGGTGTCAAAGACTTTGATGAAGTCCAGATCCAGGACTAACTCCACAGCCACTTGCTGATAACCTGGGTTTTCCTGTTCCTTTCATCATTCATCCCTGCTACTGAAGGAACTGACCAGAACACCACCTGTGCTCCTGTCCCCTCAGCCAACTGATATCCTTTACATAAGCCCCAGGGAGGCAGCAGACTTCCCTGTGGGGTGGTTCCAGTTGGCACACAGGGCCCTCAGTTCCTCTCAGAAGGGAGTCACCTACTACCACTACCCTTCTTTTCTTAATACCTGAGGTTGTGATCTGGCTGATAGACAGAGCACAACTGGGAGACCCTCCAGATAGATTTTTTTTTTCTTCTCTAGTGTCATCTGCCTGACCCTCTAGATCCAGGGCCTTGTACCTATTCTGTAAGGGCTCCTGGGAGGGCAGTGGGGGTTGAGAGGGGATTCTTTTACCTCTCTGAGCAGAGACCCTTTTCTATTCCCCGTGGTCTACTACATCTCCTCTTTCTGCCTGAAAGCAAGAGGAGCGAGCCTTCTCTAACTCCTTCTGAGCTTCTCTCAGGGTTGGAAGGGTGTAACTCCATCCATTTCCATTTCACTCTCCCCAATACTCCTTAGCCTTTCCACTTCTTCCTTAAGCTCTGCCACTAAACAGAGCAGATCATTCCAATATGAGTCCCTAAGGAAACAGCGTTGTTTGAAACACCAGTTTCAAACTCAGCAGGTGCCTAAAAGGTGGCACTGGACTTACACTGGATGTAAAAGGCTGTGCCCTGTAAGTTAGGTCACCAAAGTTATCTCAGACCACAGTGGGGACCAGTGGTTTCTTCTTAGAGAAGAAATGAAGACGAAGCTTAGACCAGTTCAAGTCATGTCTGAAAGGAGAGAAACTGCAGCTGCCCACCCAAGAAAGCCAACAAGTGCCCAAAGTGTGGGTGTGGCAACTGCCTGAAAAGGCTGTAATCAGGAGAAGAGACACATACTTTGCCAAAACAGTTCAGCTGCTTTCCCCATCCCCTGATTGTTGCTTTAGTCAGGTTGAACTAACTTGTTCTGTCTCCGGTTTCTGCCTGAGACACCTTATATCAGTATGTCTTAAGTAGGGTGAAATGATGTTAAAACAAAGTAGATTGAACATGTTCAGATTGTTTTATACTGTCATTCCATGGTGATTACTTCAGAATGTGTGAGCGAGAATAAAATTAGGAAGAGCGTAGTTATTCTGTGCTCTTTAGCAAAAGTGTTATTGCCAGAAAAACATCCTCTGGGATTTCTTCAAAGACAAAAAATCACAAAAGGACAGCCCTAATTACTCTGATTGCAGTCGTAGGACAGGTCAGTAACTTGGAATCAATGGTGTTACTGATGGACTAGAGCTCAGGTGTGGTCCCTGTCAGCTGCCTGGGTTTTGTCTCCTTGGTCAGACCCTGCAGTGTGGGTGTGATGGGTTTGCCTCTTTGTTTCAAGCTGTCAGTTAAAATTCACTGTCACTGAATGAAGGTCAAAACCTCTTCACTTAGAGGTGACTGTTCACTAATTGGTATTTTAGATTTGGGCAGCTAAAATAATCTTATAGGTGAACAAATAATTGCATTGTAAAAAGCACCGTGTAACTGTAGTAGGTAGCTGTCTTGGAAGTTCCTTAAGCAGCTCTGTTCCCTCGCTGTGGCATTTCAAAAACACAGCTGGAACATGTTGATTATGTGGTGCAAAGCAAATTTACATAGTTGTCTGTGCTGTGCTATTATGTTGCATAACCAGCTGGCTGTATTCACTAGGTCTTGAGCATTTTGATAGCAACACATTCTGTTTAAATTACATTTTCAACTCTTTGTTAAACAGAAAACAAGTATCACTGTCAGAAGACAATGCTTCTGTAGTTGTGTATCCCTTACTGAGGATTCATTTTCTCCTTCCTATCCATGGTAGTCCCTCTTTTCATGTCTTCTATGCCCTTAACCTTGCATAAAACATCAAGTTTCTCACTATTTATCAAGTCCTAAATTCCCGTGTCCCCCTTCTGCTAAGAGGTAGGTCAGGCAGATGATGATGTTGAATTTAAGTGGCACTTAGTTGGTGTTCTGTCCTCTGAGTGGCACAGCATCAGTCTGTTCTCCCCTGGTTTTGGGAATTTGGTATATTGAAGGTGCCTATGAAGTGTAAGTTTAATTAGTCAGGTCCTTAAATTATGATAATGGAAATTGATAGTCATAGCCAGGAGTTACGTAAAAAATAACAGTTAGTATTTTTCACAATAAAACTGAGGGACTTGACTAACTGTAGATATATTTTTGTCGAGATTCTATCCCTTAAAAATATATACATTTTCGTATTAAAAATGAAAAAAATCATATGGATTTTAGTTAAAATATATAGATGCAAGTATGTATCTTAATTTCCTCGGAAATTTAATTGACTATGCAAATAGTGGACTGCTAGAGAATTTATTTTTAGATTGACAGCATATTGTGTATATTGATTCTACCAGTTGCAACTGTTCTTTAATGTTGTCACTTTTCAGTAGTAGCAGGGTTTTCATATATTCAGTGTAGTGTTTATATTCTGTTTGTTCAAATTGAGCTGTGTTCAGTGTCTGTTCAAATCAAGCTGTGTTCAGCCTCTTACCTGGACTTAAATTCCAGTTACTTTTCCCAAAGATGCCTACTTTATTTGACCCAGGAGAGAGTTATCTAGGCTTGTTGTGTCTTCTGGTGTGGTCTGCTTAAGTTTGCCAGAGGAAGTTTCCTTCTTGTTAGGCAGCTGGCATAGGGTCATACACAGAGGAAGGAGGTTGATCAAGAAGCCAAATTTGTGGCTTTGATTAGTATTCAGTTGTTGAATTTGATCTGATTAGTGCTCAGTATTTTTATATGGCCCTGTAGTTCTTTGTCAGCTGTTGGTTATCAGAAGAGGCGTATCCAAAATCTGCATGCTGAAAGGGGCAACAAATGATTCCTGCACATGGAACTGGGATAACCTAGAGCATTACAAACTCTTCCTGCAGAGGAGACCAGTCCAGACTTCTCTCTCTTACCCTTCTGTCACCACAGAAGGGTAAGAAAATGCAAGGGTTCAGGAAAATGCAAGGGGATTTTGGCTGCCAAGTCCAAAGTCTGAAGATACCCGTGCAGGGATGAAATGAAAGCTTGCATCTCGAATTTTTGTCTAACTTTTCATCATTCAGCAAGAGCCTTGTTTCACCTCGTTCCATGTTTTAATCTTTTCAAATGACGAACCAAACCCACCCTTTTCTCTCACCAGGTCTCCTGCAAGCGCAGAATCTCTTAACGCAACTACCTCAGCAAAGCCAAGCCAACCTCCTGCAGTCTCAGCCAAGCATCACCCTTGCCTCGCAGGTCAGGCTTATTTCTACAGTTCATGAGTTGCTTTGAGGGGATTTAAACTATGCCAAGTGAATGGACCCTTTGTATTAGTTACCTGAATAGATGTTGTAGCTATAACAGTAAATTTGTCTTTCTAAATAGTTCAGTTTTATGGTTCCCACTCCAATGTGCCTGTGTGTTCAGGCTTTAATGTTCTAAATTTTTATTTTTAGCTGGAAATTTTCGGGATTGATAGCTTGAGTTAATGGCACTAGAGCATTGTTTGATTTCCTGTAAGATTTTCTTGGATAATTTACAAATTTATGAAATTCAGAGCAGCAGAGTGTGGGCTACCTAAAAAGCTCAAAAAGAGGATTACTGATAAGTACTTTTCTGAAGATTGCAGTGATGATCTGCCTTTATTATAATGTAGTTATTGTGATATCATTGCTAAGTCATTGCCAGTCTTACCAGTTACCATCTGTGGAAGTGAAGAGATTGTTAGAAATAAAATATTAAAATATTCTGATATCTATTAAAATATTAGAGCTCTACGGTTAAGCTTTCAGAAAAGCAATTTAAGGTTGCACATGTCTGTAAATTTAGCTGTGCTTCGCTCTGGGTTTTACTGTGCAGTTTAGTTTCATGACTGCATGCTGTTTCTCAAATACCATGTTATATCATATGGTATCTTCCTGCCAACTTGGTTACATATAAGAATTTTCTAGTCTGCAATAATGTGTCTGAGTCTTAGAAAACTACATTTTCTATTATACCACCTGTAGTAGTTTTCATGTACCATATGGAAAATGGAATTTGTCTCACCTCTGTAGTTCATACCTCAGGTAGCAGCATGATTCCTCACTAAAAATTACAGTTGGGTTTTAAAAAAATGTTAAAATACTAATAAAAAATAAATTACGTGATGTGGGTGAAATCAGTAAAGACATATTGCAGTAATTACCCACTATGATTAGTGTAAATTAAAAAAAATATTAAAAACCTTTAAGTGGGACACATGTACCTGCAATCCTAGAAAGATCATATATGATTACGTTATTTCTCAAGTAATGGAATTATAGATCTTGACCTCCCTCTACCATCTGCTGTGCACTGCAAAACACTGCAGTAACCCAGGAGAAAAACAACGTAATGGGCAACATAAAGACTCAGCTCTGTGTAGGCCATTTCTTGGAGAAGAGCCTTTTCTGTACCTTTGCATACACTTTGCATGATGCTGTAGTGCTGCACAGACCTGAGGCTGTTCTTATTTGACCTGAAGGAGTCTGTAGTTTCAGAGCTGGGCATAGGACATAAAAAAGCATGAAATCACCTTTACTGAGGAGCCTCAGCTAAACTGAATAGACTTCAACCAGAGCAAATGATTTGTCTCTGCATCTCAGTTCATCAAGGTAGAGTTATGCATTCAAAACACGTTTCCAGTGTTCCTGTTGCACATAAAGCCTGAACTGTGCAATACCAGATATTTTGTTCACCTGTTACTATTTTCCACGGTGCTCATTTCTTTTCAGATACTTACTGTTGTTGCATAGCAAAATGCTCTGGTATGCCCATGTTCAGGAATAGTGAATCTCTTGTGGACTTCCTGGAAAATTTTTTCATACTGGAAGAGTCGAGTCAGTCACAGGAGATGGAATTAGAAGAAACTTGGCATGTTTGCTGCACCTGTATGTGCTCACTCTTCCAGGATTAAATAGGAGACTTGAATCTTTTGGGCTGATGACAATCTGCCACCTCACACAAGCAGTAAATTCAATTTTAAAATGATTAAAAAGGGATGAATGCCAAGCTGTCTATAAATGTTAGAAATATATCAAGTAAGAGTGTTCAGCCTTTCTTTGAACAGCTTCTACAGCAAATGAAAGTTGTAGGTTATCATTGAACATCTCTTCTTTAATTGGTTATGACAGAGCCTTTAAAAGGCTGTCATACTAATAGAGTCTTCTGGATTGTGATTGCTCGTTCTGGAGAGGAATGTAAATAAACTGGAGGAACTTTCAGATCGCAGGAAATGTCCAATTCATCGATCTTTCTCACCAGAGAAAGACCTTTTTTTTTTTTTTTTTAATTCAATTTTGGTCAGTTATTTTTTTTTAAAGTCTGATTTTCATCTCCTCCTTGCTATCCTAATAGCCAGCAACCCCAACACGCACAATAGCAGCGACCCCCATTCAGCCACTTCCACAGAGCCAGTCAACACCAAAGCGAATCGACACTCCCAGCTTGGAGGAGCCCAGTGACCTTGAGGAGCTTGAGCAGTTTGCCAAGACTTTCAAACAAAGACGGATCAAACTTGGATTCACTCAGGTGAGACTGCGTACCTTAGTGCCTGCCAGTGTGGAACCCGAGGTCTCATCTTTCAAGTCTGGAGGGAGACTGCAATTCCATCTTTTCCTAGGAGAACTTGCTTAAATAGGGTTATGCTCTGGCCTTTATGTAGGGGATTTCTAAGAAATAACAGAAAAAGCCATACATCCGTCTTACTTCCCTGTTGGTTTTAAAGCATAGCCATTTTCCCAGCAGGGGAAAACGTGCATTTACCAGCTCCAGATGTCATTGCATGTGCACTATTCATTCTATAGGATGTGACATGAATGGGACAAAGCACTTTAAAGCTGCCTTCAGAAGTACAAAGTTCCAAAAATCATACAGCACAATTAACTGCTCTGTGTGTTTAAAAAGTGTATCACATCTGTGCAGTTGCTTTGGATATCAAAGGGTTTTTATCTCTCAAGTGTATTTTCCTATTAAACATCAATGATTTCTGTATTTAATGCTTTTGCTAAGGTTCCTAAACAAAACCTGAAAGGACTGTCACCTTTGAAGTTTTCTCCTTACAGGGGTGAACTGGAGTTGTGGTTTGTTTTCGTTTGTTTAAAAGCTCAGAAATACCCATAGAGCAGAAGAAAAGTAATCTTGAACCTAGTGAAAATGGTTGAATGGAGAGCACAATTAAAACTACAAAGTGCATTTATGTGTTCTGTTATTCTGTTGAAGGGAAAAGCTGCTTGAATCCAGGAGTCCTTTCTTATTAATATCAAAATGAGCTTTTTCCCCCTGCAAAATTAAAATATCTGTCCAGGTAAACAGTTAATTTTGGCAGGGTTCTGTGGTTAAGCATAAGCATGTTTTTGCTTAGAAGAAATAGTATGCAAAACTCAAAGCATTTAAAAGTCTGAGCTCAGAGCAGTCAGTCCAACATACGTGATTTGTTCTCCCCCCAGAATATATCTGCTCTAGCTGAAAGTATGTGCTGCAGTCAGATTTATTTTTCTGGCAAAGTCTTAGATGTTTGAAAAATCAAAGTTCATAATGAAAGTTCCTGGCAGCATCTTAATTATAACTCAAGAACAGAATGTTCTTAGTCAAATGAAGTGCATTTTGCTGGCGTGTGTGCCTCCTTCCCTCCGCTCTTTCCACTAGAGGGAGGCACAGAAATACAAGTGATGGACACACACAAAAGCCCGAATAGAGCAGAACAGAATAGGGTAAAATACAATAGCTTTCCCATAGCCTGACTGAGGAGGTTCATGTAGATCTCTCGTTATTATGTTTAATCTGCCCTCCTGTGAGATGATTATAAAGGCTCAACTGGACTTTTTAAGTTGTATCTTAACCCTTCTTTATTGACCTTGTTGTGAGGAAAAACGAACACAACTGCTCAGGCTTACGTTTCAGTATTTGCTTTTGAGATTAAAAAAGGGGAATCTTGAGAATGTGCTAAAATTGCATTTGGTCATTCCTATCCTACTCTGAGTTGGTATGTGTGTAATTAGGCTGTTCTAATAACTTCTACCTAATTGCATAATTGGATGATAATTAGAGACCCTGATTACTTTGGTTTCCTATAGTTGGATAAATAGACTGCCTTTCAGAGGATAAAAGAAATTTATTTCCAGTGGCAGTGCAAGCTTTTTCAGACTCATGCCACCCCTGCATCTCAAAAATAATTGTAAGATTTAGTTTGCATTGCAAACTAATCACTTACTACATTCTGCCGTGAACAATATAACCCGTTTTGAATTTCAGCAGTTCTGTCTCTTCTCCCACCCTGAAAAGTGGGTGATGGATTTAAATCCTTCTGTTTGTTTCCCTCAGAAATATCTCCATGTTTGACATACAGAGACACAATGAACATACTGCATCTTAGCATGATTGCAGGCCTGTGACTAATTGCTTGGTCTAATTCAAGCTACGTGAGTGTACTTTTTAGACAATGTTATTTTTATTCTGTAAAAGATATTACCTCTGCTAGTCCATCTGAGCTTCTTAACAGACCAGTACACACAACAATGATGTATCTTATAATCAGTTGCAGATCATTACCAGAGCTTCATTCAACGTGCAGAGTAGATCAGATGTGTGTACAGTGCCTTTATACTCTGTTCCATCCATCCTTTCAGTGGTCCTTCCCAATATATAAAATTCTCATCCCTATATGGAAATTCCTTTGCCTACAGCTGAAATGCTGCCACCTTTTGGCATTGACAAAGAAATGGCTAACTATTCATTTTAAATCAGATGGCAAATGTTAGTAAGAACAACATAAATACCAGAATTAAATTTAGTTGGGGGACTGGAGCAAATTTCATAACTCTTTCCTGCCAAGACATAAATCAACTTATCTCTAAAATGGTTTACATAGCCAGGTTTTCTTCTTCATAAACCCAGCAGAGCATCCACGTTACTCTTCTTGGAATGATTTATGAGTTTTAAAATGCACAGAATCCTGGCATATAAGTAGAGGTATAAATGTGAATTCCCACGTGTTTCCTCTGATTGAAGGGCACACAAACCAATTGTTCTGGTCCTCTTCTAGGAAGGAAATTGTTTTCTTTGCACAGCCTGCACAATTTACGAAGCTTATCGAAGGTTGTTTTCTTCCTCACTTGTGTGTGACCACTCTGCATGCTATTAGTGTACTCACACCAAACTGTGGGTGTGGATCTGACCTAAAAGAAAGGCAAGCTTTATGCACAACCCAACTAACCTATTTGCAATTAAACTCCACTAACGAAACGCTCAAGCTTTTCAATCTCTTCTTCTAGACTTCTCGTACTTTTTTTTGTGTGCTAAAAAATAAAAATCTAAGTAAAACTACTTTAGATCAAACAGTGTACTTGAAGTATAAATACAGGTTTTTTGAAGGGCAGGACCTTCCAGCTTTAAAATAAAGCAAGAAAATGCTATGGTGTTTTTAATGGCCACAATCAAGAACAGATTGATTTTTTCTTTTAAACAAAACTTTCAAAGTATATACTACGTAGATAGATAGATAGATAGATAGATAGATATTAGGATAAGCAGAATGTCTCATGAAACTGAGTTTTGAAAAGCAATAACAGATATGAAGAGGTGAGCATCTGTCTGTAAATCTCCTGGATAGCTTTTTGGCAGATAGGTAATGATAGTCAAGACTACAGTTAATCATTATTTGAAATGGTTCAACTTCTTATCTGCTTTGAAATATGTATCTGTTGGGGAGAAGTTTGGTTTGAACCTCAGAAGATACTAAAAGTTCAGATAAGAGCATTTCTGCATCTGTTTAACTGTGATATGTGTTTGCAGACATCTTTTCAAAAGTGTTTTCTAGCAATTTGACAACATGAATTCACTGCATTTCTGATTATTTGAACTTTTTTTCTTCTGTGTGAAATATGCAGAAACTTAAATCTGCTCTTAAAGAGAGCTTGGCCATTTTTTTTTTTTATTTTAAAGAACTAAGAAAAAAAATCACAAGTTAATATTCAGTGGAATGTGCTGCTCAGTGATAATGCTAAGAAGACAAAGCATCAGGGATTTCCTGGAAAGAGTTACATGGTTAAAGTGACTGAGGTTTGACATTTCTCTATGATTATTGCTTTAGCATGAATCTTGGTAGCACTGAGAAAGCTTCTGTGCAACTGAAATCCCACACAGCAGTGGAGTCACTAAGAGAACACAAGAATGTGACAGGATTCCTTGCTTTGGAAGTGCCTATGTCAGTGAATCCCTTTTTTCTCTTTCTTTGTCCAGGGTGATGTTGGGCTCGCTATGGGCAAACTCTATGGAAATGACTTCAGCCAAACTACCATCTCTCGCTTTGAAGCCTTGAACCTCAGCTTTAAGAACATGTGCAAGTTAAAGCCACTTCTGGAAAAGTGGCTCAATGATGCAGGTGAATGAGTCTGTGTATTTCTTCACCAGCCTACCAAAGTCAGTAGGATTCGGAAAAACTGCTTCGTTGGTGCCCTTATGGTTTTATGAAGCTGCCAGTCTTTGTAACTGTCCATGGGACAAATAAGGGTGTAGAAATAAGGGTCTGTGCTTCCCTTTCCATGTGCCTGTATGCATCCAAAATAGTTCCAGTATGAACTTCCAGAAACGTGTTCTGCAGACAGATGAGTCATTGCATGGGATGAGGTACAACATGTGTCATGGTTTTCCTCCTTCATGTATGTTAATGCATATAACTTCTAATCCTCTTCCAGCTTTCTTTTTCAGATGTGTATTAGAGAGAGGTTTGCATGATTTGTTGTTTCAGTAGGCAGAGCTTATTGCATCCATCTCCTTCCACACCCCTATGTGCATTCTTTTCATCTCTCTCCAAGGGTCCATATAAATACTCTCTCCCAACAGGAAGAGTTTTTTGGTGGGTTAGGTTTTGCTTTTTCCTTCCTATAATTTTTTTTTTTTCCTGAGATATAAGTTATTCATTATGCCAGTGTTGGTAGTGTTCTTTTTTTTTTTAATCTCCCACCAGCAAAAGGAGCTTGTACAGAGGTGCTAGGTGTCAGGATAGAAAGTGTTCAGGAGTTCTGTCAGCCAGATTTTTCTTCCAAGTATGCAACTGTACATGGTATAAAACTGATGGGTATGTTAAACAGATGGCAGGGATGGTGTGTGCCTTCCTATTTTTACCGAAATGGAGAGAGCTTTATGCTGGTGCCTGCAGTATTCTCTGAAATTTTGAAAGTAATTGCATGCAGTGTTGAAAATTTGTCCTGCCTTGAGAAAAGGAAGTGTCATTCTGTTGTGCTATCAGGGGTTATCTTTAGGTATCTAGATCTGTGGTAGAAAACATAAAAATCTCCACACTGAGTGCTCTAGCCCACAGGCCAGTGATCCCCAAACCTTCCAGCAATCCTGGATGAGTCCAGTGCTGCAGGGAGTGTCGTCGTTTGCTTTTCCTGCCAGCCTGAAGAAATACTTGGATCTGTAAAGTTAAGGACTCTAAACGGTATTGAGGTTCTTCACAGCTTGGAAGTGGGGAACCACTGTCCCTGGTTCTGACTCAGTTTCATGAAAATCTTTGGAAAAGAAGGTTCAGATGACTTCAAAGGCTATTCATTTTACCTTTAGGTAAAAGCAGGGAGGAAAAGCATACTGATGGTTCCTTCCATTACACTACATGGGAGTGTTGTAGGTTTTATTGTCACAGAACTCAGCTTGTTCTGACAGGTTTCAGTCTGAGGAAGGGTTTCAGCACATTTACGGTGCCATTACTGGGGGAAAAAAAAAATCTTGCCCATTTGAGTCTACCAAAATGATGTTAGGCATTGTGAACTTTGACATCTGCTTACCACCCACAAACCCCAGGGCAGTGAGGGAACTCCAGGCATTAATTCCCTGTTTAAATTCCCTGCAGGAACTTGCCGGTTGGTTGTATTGCACTTCCTGCTACAGAGTAGGGTTAAGTGTTCTCTCTTTGTTGCTCTGTTAAGCCAGGAAGACAGGATTAGGGGTTAGCAGCTAGAGCCCTGGTGAGGCTAAGGAGGGGGAGCTGCTTGCTGTGTAGACTGTTTGGTAGCACTGAATGTCTGCTAAGATGTCCAGAGAGAAGAGTCTGAACACTGTGAAGCTGACTGCGAACTTCTCTTCCTCTAGTGGGTAAAAGAAAGTTCAGGTTGCTCAGATTTTTTCATAATTGCCTGTAACTTTCAGCTCTGGCTCGTGGATATCAGTTACTGCTTTTTTTCTTTAAACTGGGACTTGCAGTGAGTGTGGAGTGGAGTGAGATATAGGAGACAAACTTTGTATGGGGGATAATGTGGTAGCATACGGAGCAGAGAGCACCCTCTGGGCTCACTTGTAGCTTTTTAGTTTCAAGTGTATGTTGTAATTTGTAGATACAATGATTAATGCATGTGATCTCCATAAATCTCTCTGTATTTGGAGTAGATACAGAGTGGGTCTTAACATACCTTGCACAGATGACGAACACTTGCATTAGACTGCACTGCATTCAGAGAAAACCTCCTGATCTGTGTTACTTTCTTCTTTTTCAGAAAACCTCTCATCTGATTCAACTCTCTCCAGCCCAAGTGCCCTGAATTCTCCAGGGCAAGGGATCGAAGGCTTGAACCGTAGGAGGAAGAAACGCACCAGCATAGAGACCAACATACGTGTGGCCTTAGAGAAGAGTTTCCTGGAGGTCAGTGATCCTGTTGCTGTGCTCAGCCTTTGAAGAAAGGAAGAAACTTTGGTTAGCAATTAGAGCTTTTAGAGTGAGCCCATTACTGTGCTATTTAGGACAGTGTTAGCACTAAGCAAGGTGAATACAAAAGCTGTGCCAAGAAGCCCACATCAATGTCTGCTTCACTTTAAAAAACAAACACACACAAACCCCTTCAAAAAAACCCATTGGTTCTTGCAGTTTGCTGACTTTGTGATTTTGTATTCCAGTATACTGAGCAGTAAATCTAAACATTACCCTTTCTGAGGATGGATAAATGGGACAACAGTCTATACATATATAATGTGAGGTTTTTAGCTGGAGGGCAGAAGCACCTATTATGGTTTGTCTCTGCTGATCTACCACTGATCAGGTTCTGGACCTGAATCACCCCATCCAGATTTCTGCCTGCTGAAGGAGAGGCTACAATGTAAAAACCTCCAAAGGTAATTTCACAGCTTTTCAAGCACTGTTTCCTTTCCTCAGAACCAAAAGCCTACCTCGGATGAGATCGCCATGATAGCTGACCAGCTAAACATGGAGAAGGAGGTGATCCGCGTTTGGTTCTGTAACCGGCGCCAGAAGGAGAAAAGGATCAACCCACCCAGCAGTGGTGGAACCAGCAGCTCGCCCATCAAAGCAATTTTCCCTTGCCCAACCTCACTGGTAAGAATTAAGAACCGTGTTGGCAAAGTTCACTCAAAGAGGTAGTTCTGCTCTGCTCACTGTGGAAGTTACATGTGCTGCACCTTCTTTGTACAGCAGACTTGTTCTCACATATTTAGATTTTACTGGCATTTTAAATATTCCTCTTGGATACTGTCTAAGATAATACTTAGAAATCAGGCACTAGTCAGGCCTTCAGTGTGGGTGTTTTATTTAGTCAGCTCATAAACAAATATTCTGACTGGCAAACTTGCACTTGGGTTTATTGCTTTGAACTTATTTCAGGTAGTGCTTCCAGTTTATATCTGGACCTTCCCTCTAACCCAATTTTTTTTTTGCAAAATAACAGTAATAAAAAAACGTTTAACAGCTCTACCCCTCCCCTCTTGTTTTGGCTGCTCTGATAAGTGAATGAGCAGCAGCAGAATGTACCGTGCACTGGAACAGATTGCCCGGAGGGGTTGTGGAGTCTCCCTTGCTGGAGATATTCCAGAACTGTCTGGATGCAATTCTGTGCCATGTGCTCTAGAATGACACTGCTTGAGCAGGGAGGTTGTACCAGATGACCCACTGTGGTCCCTTCCAGCGTGAGCCATTCTGTGATACTGCATCGTTTGGAGACTTACATGATGCAAATCCGTTGATACCATTGTTGTCACTTTTAGTCAGAAATTATTTATATAAAAAAAGGCATGGAACAAAGAAACAGTTTAGCTAATACTCCTGTTATTAATTTCCCACACTTGTATTTGCCTCAGGTAAACACAAACTTCATGAAAATAAGAGTAACAAAACACATGCATCAAGGTTCCTTCAGCATCTTTGCTACCAATGCCCATGGAGGTCTGTTTTCATAAATAGAAACAGTAGCTATTAGATTTCATAGTAGCTATGCTAATAGGAATGTGGTGGAATTTATGTAGCCTGTAGCTGTCCTTCTGTAGTATTTATTCCACCCTCATCACCGTAGTAGCTAATATCTTCCAGTACTTCATTAAACCATTAATTTTGGTGATGTGTTATTCTTTCCCCTCATCCTTGTCTCAGGGTGTGTGCATGCAACCTTTTGTTTCAGGGGAAGGGATGTGTTAAATGTACTTAGTCTCTTTTTGTATTACTCTTTATTTTTTCCCCAATTGCAAAGCAAGGTTGCATGCCTTGCTGCCAAAGCAGGGAGATTTATGATAGTGTGTTCTAGGAACTGTGCAGGTTCACTCAGACTGCAACTTAAAGAAGCTTTCCTACAGTAACTTCCCTGTTATTATAATCTGCCATTGTATGTAAGAAATTGAGGTGTGAACCGTGGTCTCCCTTTTATCAGTGATGTTTCCCGAAGCATTTTCACTCATTGTAAACTTCTCCTAAGACTGTGCTACGGCTCAAATGGATGTTCCAGCCCTGCTGCCCCCAGCCTTCACTGACTGTGTGCTTTGTTGATTCCTTGTGTCAGCTCTGGAGATTGTGTCCATAGGATGCTTGGGCTTAGTCTACTAGTTTGACTGCAAATTAGCCATGTGAGGAACGATGATGAATTTTCCATCTGACTGGATAACCAGTGTGAGTTGCAGCCTGGCTGCACGAGGGCAGGGGCCCTGAAGCAGGATTGGAGGGGAAGGCCCCTTTTGGTGGCAGCCTGGTTTTGCATTGGCTGAAGTCAGTCACTGTGACCACGGGGTGAGCTGTATTAATTCTAGGTCATTCCCTGCCCTGAAATATGGATTGTGACCTTGGCCTTAACTGCTGGGTGGACAGATGACAGATGCGACATCTGGGCCGCGTTAGTGGGAGGTGTGCTGTGTATCCAGCTCCTCTTTATCTCATGCACTATTCCAGATAGGCAGAAAGCTTTTAGATCTGTCCCGGTTGCCCCAGTCTTGTTTAAAATGCATGAAGCATTTGATTCCCTATAAGAGGATATGCAGCATGAGAGATATTTCTCTGATAATAAACTTAAGGTAAGAGAGGGGAAAGGAGGAATGTTTTAACCTATATCCTTGGCTACATTCTCTTGGGCAATTCTAAAGGATTCATTTCTCTCATTGATGTATAACAGCCTTCAGATATTACTGTTGGACACCATTTGTTGTCCATAAAAAGTCCTTTCTCTCCTTATATTTCATTTTTCCTCATAAGCTGGTTTCTCCAGCCTTAAATCTTTTGTGTTTATTTGTGATATCTTCAGTTTATTGTAGCTTTCTTGTAATAAGCCATCCACAAGTGAAAACTGCATTTGTATGTTTTAAAATCCAGAGATCCTTCCTCTGGCACAAGGAAACTTATCAAAATAAAACTTATAGTTTGGTCAAGTAAAAGTGAAATGTTATTCTGCTTCTCCGTGTAAACACATTACCCTAAATACCTTTGGTAATGCTGGCATTGACATAATTTTATCATAGAAAGATATGTGAAGCTGAAAAGATGTTTAAACAAGAAAAAGAATGCAGAAAAATGTATTTTGTAACTCTTTCTATAAGAATGACTCTATTTAAACAAGGTGCTCTCCTCGAGGGGAGGCAAAGAGAGAGAAAGAGAGAGCTAACTTGCAGTCTTGAGACAAAATGGATATATCTCCTTTCAAATACTGAGTTACTAAGAATAAAGATATTGCTGGTAATTAGAGAAGGTATTATGGTTGTTCCACTGAATGATAAAGTAACGGAAATACAAAAAAGTTAGTTCATATGCAGTGTTTTCCTTGATAACTTCCTCAGCTGAGGATGGGAAGAAAGAAATCCAGCTCTAGTAGCTAACTCTGTCTGTCTTTGAGCAGTTGAGCAGTTTTATTCGTTTTTGACCTCCAGGTGGCAACCACGCCAAGCCTTGTGACTAGCAGTGCAGCTACAACCCTGACTGTCAACCCCGTGCTCCCTCTGGCCAGTCCTGCTGTAACTAGTCTGTCAGTCACAGGTAAGGGCCGATTTCTCCTGACACTGCATCAACCTCTACCATTTTTCCCTTTTTGTTCTTAAAAATATCATTCCGTGTTGATGACTGGTATCCCAGGACATTCTTGTCATTGTTCCTTGTTGTTCTGCTAGGAAACTTTTGTCTTTGTGACCAGTGAGTTGACTTGTCTGGGGATAAAATCACAGGTGATGCTGAAATGAAACACTCTGTATTCCATTGCTGGCTTCTAGAGCTCCTCAGCCTTCTGCTGGGAAGTGTCACTTCATTGTAGTCCAAGCTTTTCATTTGAACCCCTGGTGCTTCTTGGTACTGCAGAAATGTGTGTTTGTGCCTCTCTCAGTTGGGTGTGCAGCTCTGTTCAGGTGGGCAGGGGGTTCTGTTTAGCCATATCTGTGTTTTGTACTGATCTAACTAGAATCAATCTTCCAGGCACAACAGAAACCACCTCTAACAACACGGCAACAGTGATTTCAACAGCACCTCCAGCTTCTTCAGCAGTGACATCACCCTCCCTGAGTCCTTCCCCTTCTGCCTCAGCCTCCACTTCAGAGGCATCCAGTGCCAGTGAGACCAGCACAACACAGACAACCTCCACTCCCTTGTCCTCCCCTCTTGGGACCAGCCAGGTGATGGTAACGGCATCAGGGTTGCAAACAGCGGCGGCAGCTGCGTTACAAGGAGCTGCACAGTTGCCTGCAAATGCAAGTCTTGCTGCCATGGCTGCTGCAGCAGGACTAAACCCAGGCTTGATGGCATCCTCACAGTTTGCAGCTGGGTAAGGATGAATTTTGCACACCCCTTCTTGGTGAGGTGAACAGAAGAGGGAAGGAGGATTCTTGGGATAAATTGCTGTTATGTATCACTGTTTTCATTTATCTCAGATTCTGAAGGTTTACTCATAGGTGGTAATTTGCCATTCCCATCCACGTACACAAATGTTGTGTTCGCTTTAAAGGTGAAAAAGCTGCATTGCAACAACGTTGTTATTTAATAAGTCATTCATCCACTGCAGAGCTTAAGAGCTGCAACTTACCACTGAATCATAGAATCTGTTCAACTAATTGTAGAATGGAGAGAGTGCCTTGACCCACTTCACCCCTCTGTATTCATTTCTCCATTATGAGCAAGAAATTGTAAAAGATGCACGATTGTTGGAGTTGTAGGTTTAAAAATGTTGCTCAGACAGATGACTCTTGGTCTCTTTAATTCCTCTTGGTTTGCAGATTTCTTATCTCAATTTGGGAGAGGATGATAGCTCTCTAACAAGAGGCACTTTCCCTAAAATACTGTACAAAAATATTTTACAGCAACAACCGATACAAGTCATGTATTTCCAGTGCCTGTACTTGTCACTAATCACTCATGGAGGGAAAACTAAAATCAACTAAAAATAGTCCTTAGTCTCTGGTCTTTCCTTCATCCCCCTTTTTTTTTTTTTATTTTAAATATGATGATGTATTTATGAACAGTGACAACCTTTCCTAAAAAATAACACTCTTTCCCTTTTCCCCTTCTTCTGTGATCTTGCTTCCTGCAGAGGTGCCTTACTCAGTCTCAATCCAGGGACATTAGGTGGTGCTCTCAGCCCAGCCCTGATGAGCAACAGTACACTGGCAACTATTCAAGGTCAGTAGTGTTCCTATTAATGCATCTCTGTCATACAGCTTCAGTTTACAGGCTTTGTTTTTCTCTGCCAAAGAAGAACACTGACTTCTCAGCACTGGACATAAATTTTATAGGAGTTGAGGTTTTACAAAATTTAAATGTGTATCACAGAGATAAGAGCAGGTGCAACTACAGAAAGGAATCAGATGTGTATGATCTTAGGGTGATTTACAGGAGGCACTTAAGATATTGAATGTGTTCTAGAATTTATTTTGTCCTCCTCCCCTCATTGGCCTGTGTCTCTAGCAGGTTGGAGATTTGCTTTTTATAGCTCTTCTCTAGTCTGCTTGAGCAGAATTGCACCATTCTGAGGTCTGTTAGGAGGGCAGTTCTCAGCAAGTCTTGATCCTGAATTCTTGTCCTCTTATGTATTTAAAAAGAACCTACAACAAAGATCCTGCCTCCTAAAGTCCTTATGGAGAACTTTAAATACATAAATCCTCGTTTAAAAGAGTAAAAATTTATTTTGGGAGTGCCAGACGTGGTCAGAAGTTATCACTGACTTCAGCAAAAGTTGTTCTCAGTTCATGGTCTATCATAGTACAGGAGATCTAGCTAACCTGTGTGTTCAAATATCCCCCAAACTAGCTGAACAAATCTTGTTTCCAGGTTACAAGAAAGAACCATTTCATAAAGCGTCAGAGATAAATTTAGGAGATCATAATCTGAGGCAGACTGAACACTAGACCGGTGAGAGTAAGTTGCAACAGTGGTTGGTTATATGTCAACATTCAAAATGTTACAGTCAAGGTTACATGACCTTCTTCTTCTTCTGATAGCTGTCATTTCACAGGAACACTCATCTCAACCCTTTCCAGTGCAAGCTGGTGAATGTACAGGCTCTCTTTGACAGGAAACATAGATCACTGTTGTGCTTAAAGGTCTGAAGAAAGGCACAATGGGGTTAGCCCAGAAGCAAACAACAGAGGCATTTTAGTATCTGCAAGGTCTTGTCTGATTGTTATTTAAAAATTAAACAACCTATGATGAGACAACCGTCGTTAGTGGTGCACAGAGCAAAGGTATCAGAGAAAGGAAAATGCAGAGCCCCCTTGCTTTTAGGCACATTTTGCATTGTTGCTTACTGCTAATGTTATCTCCTCCCTGCTCGATTTTTCCCTTTTTTTAGCTCTTGCATCTGGTGGCTCTCTTCCAATAACATCACTGGATGCAACTGGAAACTTGGTGTTTGCCAATGCTGGAGGTACCCCTAACATCGTAACTGCCCCTCTGTTCCTGAACCCTCAGAACCTTTCTCTGCTCACCAGCAACCCAGTTAGCTTGGTCTCTGCAGCTGCAGCCTCCGCAGGGGCCTCTGGACCAGTCGCCAGCCTTCACGCCACCTCCACCTCAGCCGAGTCCATCCAGAACTCTCTCCTCACGGTGGCCTCTGGGAGCGGGGCCACGTCCACCACCACTACTGCCTCCAAGGCACAGTGAGCCGGGCTGAGCTGTGCTGCCAGCAGCCTGTTTCACTGTGCGGTGGGATTGGCTGCCAGCAGGGTTTATAAACTGAAAATGCGATGGGCATCCTCTCACCGTGTTGCTGGGGACGAGAGAGAGAGAGAGAGAGAGAGAGAGAGAGAGAGAGAGAGAAGGAAAAAACAAAAAAAAAGAAAAATAAAATAAAAATAATAAAAAAAAACCAAAAGCGAAACAGGAAGGATTTAAAGCTGGGACAGACATTTGCCTAATTTTATAATAAACACTGTCTTTTCAGGATCGCTTCATGGATCGGAGAACTTTCTAACCAAAAATGTAAAAAAACAAAAAAACAAAAAAAAACCACAAAAAAACAAAAAACCACAAAAACACAAAAAAAGTGAAAGGACTACTTATCATTTCCAGCAGTCACAATGACAAGTTAAGGTGGGTTATCAGTTCAAACATAGGAAGGGGATTTCTTGGTTCTTTTTGGTCTAAATATCTTTCTTTTTTAATTATCATTTTATAGGTCTGTTGTACAGGCCATTATGTCATACAAGGTGTTTATAATCGTATCAATCATGTTGGGGGTTCCTTTCTTAACTGGTACAATTTAGGCAGGCCTGTATTACTGGTGTATCTCTATTATTATTATTATGATTATTATTATTATTATTTTTATATATATAGTTTGGACGCGTTTGTCTTTGCTCCTGGATTATTTTCAGCGAGCTCCCACACCGCGAGGGGGAGGGCGGGGGGGTGGAGAGGAAGAATGGAGCACAAATAGACTTTCTGTCCTAATCTTCTGGGAACGTTCTGAACAGTTTCCTCATCCCTGAATTTGTCTAATGCCTACTCGTAGGGGTCAGAAGGATTTACGTTCATCGTTTGTGCAGGAGGCTCAGTGTAGCAGCAGAGATCATTGTGTGCAAACTTCCAGGCTGGTCTCTGCTTTTCAAGCAGAGGTAGGAATTAGTTCCGAGCTGCAGTTCTCTCAATTATTAAGACAAAATGGCCAAATTCTGCTCTGAGCTTTGTGTGCTTGGCTCCTTTCACTTCAGAGAGCGGGATGTGACCTCCCGAGGGCAGGTTGTGTGACGTAGCGATGGCTCTTCTGTTCCAGTGATTTCCTTTGGCTGTGCAAGAGCACACACAAATGTTTAAAAAATGTCACATTACCCAGGCTAATTGGCAGTATGTAAAGCAGCATTTGCAATTCTAAATTCCCACCAGGTGAGTTGGCACGGGATTTCAAAAGGTCGGATTCTCCCCGTTCATAGCAATATTCCTTTTCCGATGCTTCCAACGTCGTATTTAGGAAAAATTGTCCCGTAGAGGAGCGCTTCTGGCTGCCAAACACAGGAGCCAAGAATATGGGAGCAGAAGTTGCCATTGTTGATGCCAGCACAGCTCTGGGGTTTGCACACACCTGAGTCATCTCATGTGGTCTCTGAGCTGCGGCGCCGCTCGCTGAGTAAAATCGGGAATAAGCGTCTCCGAGCGGCACGTCGGGGTCGCCTGTCACTGTCACTGCCTTTGCAAGGTCGGTTCTGATCCGTGTAGCAAAGGGATATTTTTGTGGATGAGGAAGAGGTGATGAACTGTACAGAAGTTAGATCCGTATATTCTTAAATATACAATCCAGTATCTGAACCAAAAAACAAAAAAAAGATTTTTAAAAAGAGAAGACTGGATCACTGCAATGCAGTTCACTTGGAACTTTCCATTCCTGATGAATTTAAAGGTTTCTGCCATGTGTATAAAACTAAATTACTTTTAGCTAGCGAGGATATTAGAAGAGTCCCTTTCCCACCCACCCCCCTTTCTTTTGTCACCAGAGTGTCCTAAAATAATGAGCTGATGCAGCTATATTCATTATTTTGATGATTCAGGGGGATCCTGGAGCTTCTCATCCAAGATCCGGAAGGCAGCAACTTTAAATTCTACATATGCTTTGGTTTGTGACCTGAGCATGTGGGATTTGTGTTTGCACTCAAGTGGCAGAACCCCTTATCTCTCCCCCCACCGCCATGGTTTTGCTCTGTTCATCTCTAACTCTCCACCTTCCTGTTTTACTGATATTTAAACCAATTACCCCTAAAACTTCAAAACTAGTGAACTGCAAGCAGGGAAACTAACAAATGTCCGTCCACCGTTTCTTATGTGTTTTTGATTTTTTTTATGTTTTATTTTTTTAAAACTAAGCTTGAACCAAAGTCAATTTCTAGCAAGCTGCTGTACTAATGGACTAGTTTGTATAAGTGCAGTTCAGATGCAGAGAGGCGATAGATGCTACTGACAATTTCTTTTTCATTTGTCTTTTGTTTTTTATTAATTTTATATAAAAGTTGCTGCTTGTTTTTAATCTTTTTTTTTTTTGGTTGGTAATTTGTGTTATCCTTGGGGCAGACTCTTAACTTGATTTTAATTTGTTTTCTTTTATTTGATGTGTAAATAGAATGGCGATGTCAGAGGATTGTTAATCCAACAGGTCCCACCTTTACCCCCCCAGTGTGGATGAATCTAAGTGTTTTTTATGTGTCTCTGTGTCTTCAGGCTGTGTGGGAGACTTTTAGGGCTATGAATAATACTGCAAAAGTGGAAATGGCCCACAGTAATGTCTTCAGAGCAGTAACAGATATAGCTGGGTGAGCTTCAGGGAGGCAGGGGAAAAGTAGAAGAGGAGATGCTGGTACCCACTATGTTGCCTGGAGGCCATAGCATGGACTATAGTTTCTACCAAAGGAATGCCAAGTCCTTGGGACTTGTCTTCAGTGAAGTAAGAGGATGGGGAAAACTGCAGCTATAGCATTGGTTCCTGGCTCTGAAAGTTCCTGCTTACTTCCAATGCCTGTGCAAAAGTACAATTTATCAGGAAGGTTTTTTTGTTAAAGGGAGGATACTACTGGTCTTTTCTCCAGTGTATCCTCTACTCCCTAAGGGTTTTGTGGTGGGGTGGGGGGGGAACGGTCCTTGCATATATCTAGGAAACACAAAGAAAGGTGGGCCTTAAATCAGTGGAAAATCCTCTTTCCAAAGTTCAAAGAGACTGTGCCATTAGCTGTCTGAATGAGTTTTCATGTCCCATTCTTGCTGGTTTGTGGTTGGGAGAGGGTCTTGTTGAGTACATATCTGGAACACTAATGCAGCTTGGATGGTTTATTTATTATAAAAATCTGCTTTTTTTCCTGACTACCTTTGCATTGGTCACATGGCTTTGGTGTGAGCACCTTATACCCCCTTACCCTCCTCCTCTCTACCCCATCACCCTCTCTGGGGCCCAGATTCCAGGGAATTTCTTAGCAAGTCTTTTTCTGAGAGAAACTGGAAACTCAGTAACCACATATCCAAGAAAGAGCTTGGTTTTGCTTGCAAAAGCTGACATACTACCCAAACAGGACATATCCCATGGCATCCATTGCCAGTGTGCTCTGATTCATTGTCCTAAAACATCCCTGTGACTGACTGACTGTTGTTCCTGGAGCCTGCTTTTTGTCCCTATCAGTGTTTTTCCTTATGGATGCTGGCTACCTCTGGCGTTTTGGTGAAATATGGAAATCAGATTGGCAGGGAATGTACATCTGCCTAGTTAGAGCATATGTGTCCCTTCAGAGCATGAAAATGTGAGATCATGTACTATAACTTAGCAGAAGTTTCCTTTTAAATCATAATCATGCTGGCAGCAGAAATTGATGCATCTGAAAAGAAACGATAACAATTGTATACAGGCCCAGTAAATATGATCAGAAGGAATTTGATGGTGTTGTTGGAAAAGGATAATAGCATCTCTTTTTCAGAGCTCCATGTCCCTGTATTTAAAGGTGAGAGGGTTGCTTTTCATAGTTACAATCATGTCACAGTACACATGCAGGAAAAGAGAAGGTGAAAAACTCTCTCATTACAGATGAGAACAGTTAGCTCAGAAAGCAAAACATTTACAGAGGCACAGATACAGAAGGTCAAGAATAATTTAGAAAATGGCTTCAGGAGGAGGTATAGCCTGGTGATGACATTTTTTTCTGATGTTAAGAAAAACATGTTTTGCTTTAGCACACTTTGGCTTTAGCACACTTGATCTCCTCAGAACACAGTAGTCACCATAGAAAGATTTATGATTTATGAAAGTACATACAGATGGGGCTGCTTACAATAGTTGTATCTGTGTGTTTAAACCTCCTTAAGAGGATTTATTTTGTTTCTGAGTTACTGTGCAGTATGTCTTAGTCTAAGTACATTTTTATCATGTTACTCTGAGATGGTGTGTATGTAGATATACACTTCTCTTGGAACTATGACCTAATGTTTAAATGCCACTGTGTTGACACATTTCTGCAGTTGAGTTACTAAAGGATGCAGGAGTGTTAATTCCCTAACTCTGTCCACATTCCTGTAAAGCAACATTCGTTAAAACAGAAATTCCCTCTTTTTTGTTACAAATGGAGCAGCACAACCGTTACAGCTGGAATCATATCACAGATATTAAACTTAAAACGACATCTGATTTACCTTAAATATTAATATTTTCTTAGATAAAGATTTACTATACAAAATGATCTTGGAGAAACAAGTAGCTTCTCATGATCATTGGAGTGCTTTAGGACAGACAAAGTAGTGCATCTGCTCTGAGCTTTTAATGATACTTGTTTTCCAACTGGAAGCTTAAAATTTAGATCTATTTATTGCCATGTTAACTTGATGAAGAATCACTGCTCCCTATTCATGTTCTGCTCGAAGTGGTTAAAGCATGTTTATCCACAGGGCCTGGGTATCCCTGCTGGATGTACACCTGACTGTTGCCTAGGGTGGAGTGTTACCAAAGGAGTAAGCTGGCCTGCTGCCCCCACTGTGTTCTCACACAGCCAACTCAAATTCCTTTGTATTTTTGCAACCAGTACATCCTACCTGTCCCTCCCAAAGTACTATAGCAATACAGAATTCAAGATACCTGCCTTGCACAAGTTCTACCCTTTTCAGTTGTTGAACTTCCTGTTGCTGCTTGTGAGTTTTTCCTCTTCTTTCCAGCAGGGAAGTCCCCTAAAATACTTTAAAGATATTTGACAGAGGAGGATTTGTGAAAAAGTTGCTGGCTCACTGTTTGCCATTTCTTAAAATGTTCATATCTTCGTCTCTGTGATCTGAACAGTACCTGGTTCCCTCTGTGTCAGTGCAAGCAGTTTCAGTGCTTTAGGAACAATGAAAAGCAATTCCTCTGCTTGCATATCTTCACATATGAACACATGAAGTAACACATGGAAAAAAAACTCGGTATTTTTTCAGCTTGTCTATTTTTATTTGATCTGTCTACCACTTCTCCCAGGATACTCCTTTTACCCCCATGGGATGCTGTTAGGAGGGCGTTAGGAAGACTGCACTGTAATTAGAAATAGTTGAACTGTGGGAGAAAAGACATCTTTTAGTCAAGTAGGCAAATAAGGTCAGCATGCAGAACGTATCAGGTACTTCTTTTCTGACCGAATTCCTAAACCCAGAGCAACTACTGAGCTTTGTCTCGGGGCTGCTTTTAACTCCATCAGTGATACCCTGCTAAGAACCGTCCATAACTGGAATAGTCTGGGCCCCCTTCCTTCCTCCTTCCCTCCTCCCCTCTCCCTCCTTGTTCCTTCCTCATCTTCCCTCAGCAAAAGGTAGCACCATACAGCTCTGAGAACAATACTTATGGGTAGCAGCTGGCTTCTGGCACCTTCATAAAATACCTCAGCATAGCTTAGCATTGTCGCAGAACTGGTTTTAAACTGAAAAAAATCAGAAGAGAAAAGCAAACTTTATAAATAGTGGAGATAATTCTAGCTGTAGAGTTTAGTTGAACTGATGTTTATTATGATTGATAAACATGATTATGCTGTATGTATTTGAGATCCTGTTTATAGGTTACAACTTTATAGGGTCGGGTGGGGGTGGGTGGATGTTGGGGGCAGAGAAGGGGGGTTTGACTGTGTTAGAAGGAAAATGTTTGCTCATAAATTTTTTTCCTTGTATCTGTCTTGCCAAAGGAAACATTTTGTCGCTCCTGGGTTTGGGATTGTTGTTTGGTTGGTTTATCTGTGGTCTAATCTGCAGCACAGCACGTGGTGGCATGCAGGTTACTGATGGGGTTGCTGTTCAGGGTCCTTTCGAGTGTGCGCACACTTCCCTCCCTCTTGGCCTTTCCTTGCCCTTCACTGGGATCTAAAGATGAGGCAACATGTACCTGGGAGGCTCGGGGGAAAGGAGATGGCTGTACTGGGTTAGAATCAACCTCGGTGGTGTAAATCCGTTCCAGTTGAGTTGCTCCAGAGCTGAACTGGGTCCATTGTGTTTGACTTCGGGAAGGGACAAGAATGGTTGTCGCATCTTAATCTTATCTGGGAGAGCAAAAGTGAAACAGGTTCCTTTTATCCCCCTTGTCTTGTTACTGAATGTAGGGCTTGTAGTGCTTGATAATAGGTGGAAAACTTTTTAAACACTTCCTTTTCTAATAGCAATGCTAATCCTGTCTAGACCAAAAACTATGAAAGAAAAAACCAAACTGAGAGGTGAAAGCTAACCTACTCCTAACACCTGGCTGGTCTGCCTGAAAGGGTTGAAATACTGTGAGACGGTTGTGGGAGAGGAGCTTTGAGGTGTTGTTGGCGAGGGAGTGGGTCGTTCTCCTGGCCTATGTCTTGGTGTTGCGGTGGGAGTAGCAGAAGAGCGAGTGGTTGTTGCCTTGGGAAGGGCGTTGCAGCCCACTCCGACCGGACTCCAAGGCTCCCTTCCCGTTTCCCTTCCAGGCTGATGGAGCAGGGGAAGAGGGGAGGGGTGTGCGTGGGTGTGTGTGTGTGTGTGCGCCTGGCTGTGTGCGGTGATCCAGAGAGGTGGGTTTCTAAAGGAGCTCAACTCCACTGGGGCGGGAGAATTCCCAGTGGCCTCGTAGGGAACCAAAGGCACTGATAAGTTGTCAGCTCTGCTGTTCTCAGAGCGGGTAAGAGGAGAAGCTGGGTGGGGGTTTTTGAGCTTTGGGTCAGTGTCCCTTTCTCTAAGGACCTCATCTCTTTCGGGTACTCCCACCTTTTCTGCACAGAGTTGCTTTGGCTCTGTGAAGACAAACAGTATGTGGGGTTTGCCCAGTGCTGCAGGTCTTAGGCTGATGTTGGGATACAGTCAGGGAAAACTGTTTCTTTCCTTCAAATGTGGAAGCAGTGTAGTCCAAGGTCAGAGTCTGTTCAACAGCTTTTGCATATGGTCTTTCTCTTAAGGGAGGGACCTTGAAGACTCCTTTCTTTGCTCCCCAAAGCAGCCTTGTACATGTTCATGTATTGTGCTATTGGGCTGAGCTGTTTTATCAGTGAACTTGGTGGGCTCTTGTGAAGAAAGGGAGGGAGGAAGGGGGAGAGGCAGGTTGTCCAGCTACTCTTCCTCCGGACACCAATCGGGTTGCAGAACTTCACTGAAAGCTTTACTAATAGAATTGTTGTTCTGACATTATGTAAAAGTGGTATTAATATTGTGTGACTTTTCAAAGAGCTAGTTAGATTTATAGATAGTTAATAGGGATATTGAAGAAATGACTTCTCAAAGAAAAGAGCACTTGGAACAAAAGAAGTGGAAAACAAGGTGTGCTTTATGGAAAACAAATCTGAGGAAGGAAATGAAACAGCTTGTGGGAGGCGAGGGAAGATGATACCCTTTGGCGTTCCTTAGTGCTGCTGAGGCTCAGCCCCAGAACTGGAACAATACCCCCTCTGCCTTATTTCATCTCTCTACCAAACAGGACATTGTCAAGTAGCTCAGACCAAAATGCTGATCTGTCTTAAATCTGTGTTGGTCTGCTGGTGAATATTCTCCGGCAGAGCTTTACATAATACCGTAAGATACTTAATTTATCGCGTTAGTTTCCCCTTTCCTCCCAAAATTGTCTTATCATGTTGTAGGCCCCACTTCAGGATTCACACTGCCTTTGCTGAATTTTGTAGCAGCAGCTACTGAAGCCCCATTCCCCGAATGTCGTAACTTCGTGTGCGTTCAAAGCCGGCACGTTGCGGTGCTTTAAAAACCTGAAATTATTATTGAACAGTAGGAATCCTGAGACCTCGGGAATGGCACGCCAAGGGGCAAATCGTGGAGATCGCACAACCCCCTTGGGAAACAATTTAGGAACGAGAGCACCCGTGACAGTGTCCTGAGTACAAGGCAGTTGAGACAAAACCTTTAGTTCTTCCCCCATTCACTCTGCATGTGTCGGCCTCTGTGACCCCGGTGCTCCCTGCACCTGAGCGAGTCCGAGGGGGAAACGCAAAGCGAAAGACTTGGAGATCAGGGCTGCTCCCCGCGAGTTCCCGGGGAGCCAGACTGCGCCTCCCCGCAAGCCGGGGAAGGGAAGGGACCGCTGCAGAGCCCCCCGCGGGTGGCTTGGCGAGGGCTGGAGCAGCACTGGGCCCCTGGGGCGCCTCGTGTGCCAGCGGTCCGTGGGAAGGACCTGGGCAGGAGCTTCTGCGTCCCCGCCAGTGCTGTTGTTCCATTTCCTTCCTCTGTGGTAGTGTCTAAGGCTAGGTGTGAGTAGGTGTGGGGTGTTTATCCGCCACAGGTACAGGAGCTGTCGTATACCTCATTTCTAACTCGTAACTGAGTAACTTGCTTTAACTTTCTCCAAACCCCACAGAGTTGCCAAGTCTGCCCTCCCTCCTTTGATTAACACTGAACTCTGGCCTATAGCACCCCGTGACCTGCAACCTGGGGAGGTGACCCCCTAACGCCTCTGAATGTCGCTGCTTAAAAGCTACTGCAAAGTGAGGGCAAATTGCAATCTTATCTTATTTCCTTTGGTTACAAGGGGTCCTCTTGATTAGTCTGTGAATATCCACCCCCTCCCCTCCACTCTCTGCGGAAAAGGGCCACCCGCGCTGCCTTTTCCCACCCCGGGGCCACACTGAACTCCAGGGCCCCGAGGCACTCTCAGCCCAGTGCTGCGTACATGCTACTCACTTTTTAACATGACCAAAAAAAAAAAAAAAAAACAAAGAAAAAAAATAGAAATCTCCAAATATTTAATTTTCTTCTTTATTATTTGACAATCCTGTATCCCTTCCCCCACTCCCCAGCCTGGCCAGAAGCTGCATCCTTAACCCGGTCCATCTTTATTTGAATGTAGTTCCCCTACCCCCATGGGAAAGAGAAGCTTTGTCAGGTCACGGTGGCTGCTATAAGTCGGGAGGGGGCGGTTTCTTTGTTTTGTTTTGTTCTTTTAAAATTTCCAGCCAAAACCAAAGATTTCCTAATGATTGTATAAACTCAAAACAAACAAACAAACCAAAGACAAAGGGCGTCTTCAGCACCAAGCCCATCTGTGAGGCCGGTCTGGCCAGGGCAAGGGTCTCTGCCCAGCCCGGGGCTCCGAAACACCCCAGGAAGAAATTCCCTGCTCCAGGGTGAAATCTGGGGCGCAGGCGCTGGGAGGGGGCGGCCCGGGGGGGGGCTTCGCAGGTGGGTTGAGGAGCTGAAGACTTGGGTGCAGGATTGGCTGCTCTGCTGGGTGCTTTAACCCTCTGGGGGCTGGGTGATGTTGATTAATACACGCTGAGGTGCACTTCTGAGCTTTCCCCCCCCCTTCACTGCTTGGAAGAGGCTGTCCTGTTGTGAGAAATCCCTGAAAGAAGAAGAAGCAGCTTTTCATTTCTCCTCTAGTTCCTTTTTTCTAGATTTCTTTTTATTTTTGCAGCACCACTGTGCAACTATGCATTGTATTTCTCAACCTTTTATGCTAGGTAGATGCCTGTGACTTTTTAACTTTTGGGGGGGGATTGCAAATGGAGGAACTTTTTACATGGATCTTTTTAATCTCAGTTGATTGGGGGGTGTTTGGTTCTAGGGTCATACAAGCTCTATCCCAAAGCAAAATCCAAATGTTAATATTATTAGCCTGATGCAGATACCAAAGATAATTTCTTTCCTGCAGAACCTTAGACTTGTGTATTAAGTACGATTACCCAGCACTTGCATTAGTCTAACCTCAGTAATTCCAAAGCTTAGATGTATATTTTGGTATATTTCTGGGATATTAAAAAATTGTCGTTTAAATTCTTGTTTGTTTCAGTGTAATGCTCTTAAAGTCATAGCATGGAGATAACTGAACTTGTCCTATTCTTAGTAGTTTGAAATAATAGTATTTTTGTATGTTTTGGGTGTGTCTATGTATGTATTAACATAACAGTTTTCACTGCCTAGGTGTTCATAAAAAATAAAAAGAAAAAAAACCAACTGCAAAGGGTTTTTAAACTGTACATAATATTCCATGAGGAATTTCCACCAGACCGCCAATTTGGATTGCATTTTCACTGATGGCCGCTCCCAACTGGGATTCTTTCTTTGTTTTTAAAGAGACAGCATGTTATTTTTTTTTCCCCCATTGACCTGAGGTTCTTTCTCAGTGTAAAGGGGTTTTCACTGTTTTTAAGGGATGGGCCAAAGAGGAAGTTGCTTAAATTTTATTTAAAAAAAAAAATAATAATTATTTAACATGTTAGTTTGAAAAGTACCCCTTTGTATGAAGAATTGAGAGTGGAAAACCAAGCCCTTTCTTCTAAATCCGGTTATAGTTTCCAAAGAGGTGAGGATTTGTGAATGTCTGGAGCATCTGGGCAGTCCCTTTTTGCTTTTTTTTCCCCTAAATAAGGCAAGTTTTCGGTCCTAATGGTTTCACTGCTCTGTGCAGCTGCCTGCTTACACTGGCTGGGAGTTTTTTTTTTTCTCTTGCCCTTCCTCATACACTGCATTTATACACTTGAGGTCAGCAGAACACTTGAAATCAAGGGCCATATGGGAGTACCCTACCCAAACCCAACCCAAGCTTTTCTTGAGACTGAAATGTGAGAGTCCCACACATTTCAAAACCTTGCTGATCACACTAAGGGTGAGGAGGAAGGCGAAATGCTGTCTCTTTAAAGATGTCCTTTATAATTATTATTATTATTATTATATTATTATTATTATTATTTTCCCAGTGGTTGCCTACAGATAGCTGTAGGCATTGAGAGATTGTGTAGATTACAGTAAATCAGAATGAAAAGGTAGATTTTGTGTAGATGCATTTGTCTGCTGTAATTTTTTATATATATTAAACTTACTGTAATTGTACAGTTAATTTCTGTTGTAAACATCATTAAACCATTTTCCAAGTGTTTTAACATGTATGCACTTGTTTGTAGTTTTTGAATGTATTAGGGGAGGTGGATTCCCCTTCCCCTCATGGATCAAAGTGGGCCAGAAGATTGGTCCTTCGTGCCCTTTGTCTCAAACTGGAGGAGACAGAACGGGTTTTTTGCACTCTGCTTGAAGCTTTTCTTCTACTTCTCTGTTTATCAGCTCCTCTCCTAAAAGCAGAAACATCTCCAGTTGCTTCTTGAAGGCAAAGAGGAGACTCAGCTCACACCTACGGTGAGTGTCCCTGAAACAAGTGTTGGATGCTTTTGAGTCAAGATACCCATTTTTATATATATATATATATATAAAGAGCATAAAGGTGATATTTTTTTCCCTAGAGAATTTCATTCCTATTGTTTAGTTGTTGGTATTTTATGGCTGCCGAAACTTGTGATTTCTACATCTTGCAGATACAGCTGTGATTATTTAAAAAGAAAAAGCTGTTTTCAGTACTGTTTGTTCTTGCATTGGTGTTTTGTAGTAGTAACTTCACTGTAATTTTCAGGTCAGGTGGCTGAGGTATCACCCACTTCTCTCAGATTTTTTTTGTCATTGCAGAAGAACAGTAAGGGATCTAGGAATTTTTTTTTTTCCCCCAAGAAACATTCGTTACCATCTCTCAGTTTACTTTTTTTTTTGCTCTAATTTATTGGAAATATTCTTTAAAAGCTACAAGCACCTACTGCAGGTACAGTTTTACTGCTGAAGATGTAAAACAACCTTGTCACTTGCATAGCAGCAACTTCATCAAGTTTTTCTGCTGCTAACCCACCCAGTCCCTGAAAAGAAGATATGACTTCATCCGGGCAGAACTTTTGTTCCCACAGTCTTGTTTTAGCTCTGCTTCTTCTGTAAGACTGACAGAATGAGCTGGTCAGCTCCTGACCCGAGGTAAAACAGGGTTTGTTTTGCTGGGCTGTTTTTTTGTCCTTGCTGAGTTCTTGCAGGTGTCATTGTGCAGCCTTTTAAGTCACAGGCAAAACTGAGGCTGCAGCAGCAGGAGGTGAGTGCCCCTCTTATAATTAGGCTTGGGGCATTTTACCAAAACCCCATCCCACTGCTCAGGATGTGTTTAGAAGCTCCTGTTGGAATATTGTCCTCTTCAGCCTCCCTGGGAGATGATGCTGCTGGGTGCAGGTCGGTTCAGCCGGGCTGAACATGGCAGGTCACGAGCTCAGGCCCTTCTCACAGCTGTTCCCTGCACACACAGGGCTGCCACTGCCTTTATTAATTCATCAAAAGCACATTGCGTTATTGACCTAGAACCTCTTTGGAATCACACCTGCATCTTTTAGAGGTAACCTGATGATAGACTGGTTTGGAAACTGGATTTACGTTGGCTTTTATACAGTTTCTGTTGCCCAGAAGTGATATATGGGAGTCCATTCTCCTTGTTTTCATTGTAACAGGGGCATCATCATCTGCCTTTTGAGAAGTCTCTCATGCAGATTACCTGGCTCATATTTAGCTTCAAGTGCTGGCTGAGTGGCAGTGCCATTGCTTGATCTTTTCTGGGAGCTCGGTGCTCATTTTCTTCATGTTGAAATGTTGCCAGTCAGCCTCTGTCCTGCACTACACTAACGTAACATGACTTTTTACAATTAAAGGGAAAAAAAGTAATCTGGAGCAGTTTTTTAAAAACTGAAGCAGTTTTTTAAAGGCAAATTAAAAGCAAAAAGTGTCAGTCTTAAGATAAATACCACAGGAAATAACTACAGCCCTATCTTTACAAGTTGTTTAAATGCAATGAAACAATAGTTACATGTCATGATACCCCTGCAAGGCAAGGAAGAGCTGTGAAAACAGCTGTGTTTGTTAGAAGGTGTGGTCTGGTCCCACAACACAAACCTTACCAAAAAAAAAAAAAAAGAAAATCAGCCTAATAACCACTATTACTGGAAACAACAACTTTACAGATATGTACATTTTAATAGCAAAAGCTTGCAGTTGCATGATTCAGGAGGAAAGGGAGAAGGGACTGGACAACTCCAGACACGCTCCCTCTGTGCACCAACCAAAGCAGGTTACTGCACCCAGAAAACACGCAGTGCTTGTGTGGGATGAAAAAGGCTTCTCCTCCTCTCCCCCCCCAGAGCCTGTGGGCATCTCTCCTTCTTGCCCATCCCCTCTGTGACTCCCACTTAGCGGGGGGGCAAAGCCTGCATTTGAAGAGCATCGTAAGTGTCCTTGGTGGCTGCACTGAGTCCCTGAAAAAGAGAAAAACAGGTGAGAGACGAGTTCTCCCTAAAATTTACCTCAGTGCTGACTGGCCAGCCACAGGGCAGCAGGGGCTCCGTAGCATAATTCTAATTTTTTTTTTTCCCCTGCAGAGAAAATGGGTGATTCCATAGATTTTGTACAGTGCCAATAGCTACCTATCACTTACCTGAAGGCAAGGTACCTTCTGAATAACTCTTATGAACATATGACTACAGCAGCTCGTCCTAACTGGTTATGAAGATCTTTAGAGTGCATTTTATTCGCATATTATTAAGACCTAACTGATGCTAGGGTGAAGTAAGGTTACAAAATGAAGACATCAAATCATGAACTTTGTTCTCTGGACTTCTCTTTGATTTGGAAAGGAAGTCAGACGCAGCTCTAGGTAAGTAAGTTGGCAGCAGAGCTTCAGATGGCTGTGAACCCTGGGAAGCATCCCCTCATGGTCCTTCCTGCCACTCCAGGAATCCTTTGCCTGCCAGCCTGCTCTGGTGAGTCAGCTGTGACCTGTGTGTTACAGATCCCTGTGGCAGCGATGGGAACAGCTGCTCCAAGAGCAAGGCAGTAGAAGATGTAGCAGAGTTGCAGGTCAGCCCAGGAGCCTTCCAGAGCAGAGAGAACTGGGGCTTCCAACAGAGAGGATCTAGTGAGACACCTGGTGCCTGCTTGTAAAACTTCCAGCTACCCTTCACTTCCCTGCTATGAATATTTAGTGGTGTACTGAGAACACTGGGAGGTTGGTGCTGCTTATCAGGCTCCTGTGATATCTCAGTAGAGCTGGGCTTGAAGAAAGGTACCTTTAGCTACAGAATCACCATGTTACAGGAAAGCTCCCTGGCATGTGCTGCAACCTGAAGAACTTTTTTATATGTATTGTATTTTTGTCATTTTGAGACGTCAGTGCAATGTACAGGCTTCTACAGAAAGTAAAATGCATTTTGGAACAGTTATACATGGTGACCCAGCTAAGGCCTCACTGAGGGACTCCTTGCCCTTTGTCAGGTGTGTGCAACACTGAACCCCCCCAGTGCACCAAGGGACTGGAGGTGCTGAGCAGCCTGTGCTCTGTGCTATAGTGAGGGGCCCTGAACCACTGATGCCTTGAGTTACAACAGCTGCTTGGCAACCTGAAGGTTTCCATTTAAGCAATAAACAGTTTGGAGGCAGAACTCTGTGCATCGTCTGCCACAGTCAAAAGGTGCTTCTCCAAGGTGTAGGGCCATGGAAATGGTTCCTACCAGGGCAGGAGGTGTATTTGGAATGTGCAGCCACTTATCAAAGTGCCATCAGTGTAGTCTTTGCCCTGAATGTCAGTAACTGCCCTCAGAAGGATGCTTTGAAAGCTCTGTTCCATCACATCCCACTGACAGTGCAGTTGGATATGTAACTACAGGCTACAATTAACCCATGAAGACAGGTGAGGGGAGCAGCTGCTGGATGTGTTGCCTACCTGGTAAACACCTTCATTGCCTTTGCCTCGCCGCCTCTGCTGCTTTGGGAAAGAAAAACAAGCACAGATTAATGGGTGGTTTTCCTTATCATGCAAAAATAAAGAACCCCCTGACTTCCCCTGTCCTGTACTGAGGGTTGGCAGCTGTGCTTGGCCTGGACCTGCTCTTCACAAAAGGGAAAACACCTGCTAAGTCTGGACCAGCCCAGACACGCTGCAAGGGCTCTGAAGGAGAAAATAGGATTGGAAGTAAAAGGAAATTATTTTGGTTTGCTGACGTATTTTCCTGTCATACTGTTACAGTGCTGCTATTCCTTTGATTAATTGGATGAATAGAGATTTGGAGGCATTCCTATAGACACTGACTATTTATATTAGACTATCAAAAACATGTGGCAAGGAGTAGTGCCTGCTACAGTTACAATTGCAGCAACCTCTTAAATGATCATATATCTAGAATGGGACAGGGGTTTTGGTGTTCTCATCCCTCCAGGAACAGAAACATTCATAAAAACACAGTGCAACTTTATAGACCCATAGCTCATGAACAGAGCTTGACTATGGCAAAGGGGCATCAGAACATAAAAGGGGAGGGGATTAAATGTCAGTGTTACTTCAGCATTTCTCAGCACTAAACTTTGCTTTGAAATGCCCCTTTTTTCATGTTTCAGGAGGAAATGAAAGGTTATATATATATATATGACATTTTGACATAATATAGAACCTCTGTAGGTCAGAGCAATTTTTCATGTTGCCATAAACAAGTGTTCCCAGATGGTTTGTTTTCAACACAAGCTCCCCTCCCCCAGCAGTTTGTGCACAGAGCAAAACCTGTCCATTTGCTGTAGCTGGAGATACAACTGGTATGTACCTTCCTAAATGTTTGAGAGGGGAGCTGGGGGAATGAGAATGTGTCCCCCATTCCTTATCTGAAGGCAGGCCCAAGGAGAAGCTCACACGTGGTTTCCTGTGCCTGTAATGCCATCCAGGCTCGGCAGCCCGTGGAGGGGGAACAGTGAACCTCCAGCTCCGAATTGCTCTGGAGAAACGTGCTCAACTTCTGTGAGTTGCTGGGCCACAGACATTGCAGCACTTGACAACAGACACTCCTTCAGCTACTCCTCACCCATCTCAGGCCCTCTGCCCACTCAGCCAGGGCAGCCAGCAGAGTTTTCTGTCCAAAAGTTGGAATGTTCTCTGCTGACGTTATTCAGCGCGCCCGGGGACGCTGCTGGTGTTTGTAATGCCAGTGGGACAAAGCTGCCTGGTCTCCACCTGGGTTTATGGCTTCTCTAAGACCAGAGCTACGTGTCT